GTAAGACTAAAGCATAAAAAGTTTACCTAGTCTTTTCACCGATTTCAGCCAAGAGTTATCTCTAAATATATTATAAACATTTCGCAATACCTCTGCAAAATGAAGTGAATGTGGTCAGGATAGAGCTGGGTCACAGTTTGATGTGCACAGTGCCAGACTAGAGGGCGCTGTTTCATCGTGCGAATACAAAAGTTAAAGGGCCTGTCAGTTAATCTTGTTCTTGAAGGTATGATCTTCTGTTGATGCCACACTGAGGTAGCTGCCCCACAGGTGTGTTAGATTGTGAAATTGATCTAATTGATGAAAAATATTCTAGGCATGATACTTTTATGGATATATTGCCTTCCATTTCTTCCTCAGTTTGAAAAACTATACAGTCTTGACCTCTGTGATTAACAATGGGGTTTTATGGTGCCTTCAAATGGAGTCGTTTTTACTATGTTTGCATGATGAACAAATGAACAAACACTGGGGTAAATGTTTCTGAAAGCAGGAGTGTGACATCCATGATGAGGTTTTCAGTAATGGTAGAGCCTGGGGAACCCAATTTTTGGTCTATGTCATCTTCTATTCATGATATTCTTTTGTTGTTGTTGTTGAAATGTCTGCCTCCTCACTGGGTGAACCCACCTCGAGAACAGCACACTCTGGTGACGGGCTGCAGTATAGGTCATATACCCCGCCTCCTCCAGCCATCCTTATGAAGCTGTGGACAAACTTTTGAAATAATATACACAATGTAACATTTTCTCCCCCCTGATGGCGATGTTGACATGTAGTTATTATAAGACTGGTTTTTGCTCAAGTCTTTTTTTCTTTTTTCTGTACAGCTCAATTTTTAAAAGCTATTAAGGGGTTCATGTTTTCTATGATTGACACTTGATACAGCCTATGGGTGTACTGGGGATACGCTGTTTGAGCCGAGTGTCATTCGACGAGCAAAAGCCACAGGATCCAAAATGGCTCAGCTCCGGCACGGCAGGCAGAACAAATACGCAAGCATAATAATCAATGTGTGTCATTCCACAGAATCCGTCTGCAGCGGATCGGCTCCGGTGCCCGGCGCATCAATTCAGTGCAGCACAGCACAAGTAGCAGTCAAAGTTGTATGCGGTTACAGAGTTAAATATCTGCTTAATTTTCGGAATAAAATTAAGTCAATACATTGAATTGTTCTTAAATTGATAATAAGAGAAGCCAGGGTTGTGGGATGTGGGTGTTTTTATACATCGCAGTTTGTATACATTGATAGGTGGATCTCGGCTGTGTCCGAAAAAAAACACTCAATCCCTAACCCCTAACCCCCATATATATGGGATTTTGCTATATAGCTGACAATGTAGTGAACTCAATCACCGGAGGTTTCGGACACCCCTCAAAATGGCGCTAACCCCCATATAGTCAGCTATATAGGGGTTAGGGATCCATTTCGGACACAGCCCACGACTCCCGGGAAAACACGCGAGATCTCATGAGATCTCACGAGAAATTTCGGTCTCGCGAGAAATGTCGGTAATCTCGCTTCTCCAATGGCGGCGGCAAATCAAATCCCATGGTAGCGGTATGGTTGCGTATCTGATCCGACTGCCGGAGCGGAGCGGTTCCAGATTCTGTGGGATCCCCTCTCGGCGGCGACCCTCCCGCCAAACGCGTACAATGCTACTGCGCAATATTAGTTTCAGGAAGTGGAGAAAAACGCGGAATTACCGAGAGCTTTTCGGCTTCAGATCCGTATACTGGCGGAAGGCGGATACAGTATATGGTAACAAGCTATCAATCTTTGTTTAGTCATTCAGATTATATGTCTGAATCATGTTTCCACCAAGGAGATGGAAGGCTGGCATTGAATGCACCCTGTACATAACTTCATGGGGGAGTCATCTATGAGACTCAACCTTAGGCTTTGAAAAAACCAAGTGGGCAAGATGTGTCTTTTTTTTTTCTTTTTTTTTTTTTTGCTTTTTACCCCTAATTGTAAAAGTGTGACAACCCAACCCAGCTTCTACAGTAACCACTGCTACAGACGACGTGAAGCTGTGTGTGTGTGCTGTTTCAGCGTCTCTAGAGGGCACAAGAGGCTCAAACATGAAACTCAGGTGAGTCAAGATAACACGGTTAAAAAAACTCCCACAAATAATCACTTAGAATTGATTTATGTAGCCTAGCTCTTAGTCTCCGCCATGTGGCTAAAAACTATGAATATAAGGAATTTAGAGAAAACACTATCATGACTATAATGACTGTTTTCGTCTCGTGTTGACCTTTTGCAGGAGTACTTTTGAAAACAGTTCACAGTTCTGTTATTTTTGACTAAATAGGTTTTCTTTGTTTAAACAATCTCCATTAAAAGTGAGAGATGAGGAGGTGATGGATGCTGAAGGCAAAAACCACTCAGAGGTAGATCTCGCTCATCCTCTCTGATCTCCATCAACATTAGTACTGTTAATCCATCAACTATAAAATATGTATATTAATATGCTGTCAATTTGTAATGCCCCCCCTCAAGGGTTTGAAAGCTTCCTCCTGTATGACAAAACTCAGAAGTTAGAAAGTGGCGGCCATAGCCTTCATCTCGCACCCGTGTTCAGGGCGCACAGCCCCCTTACGCACCACGGCTGCCACATCTACTAGATTAACTTCTCCTCCTCTGTCTCCTCCTTCTGCTGATATTCATGACCAAAAGCCTGATTTATCTTTGATCTCTCTGTGGTGCGGTCCGATCAGAAAGAAAGCAGCGAAGATTTGCCGGATCAGACTTCATTTACAGCCCCTGATCATTGCTGCGGGATTATTGGACGTGATTAATAATCCTCAACCACACGGAGGCGCTTTAATATAAACCGATCAAATTGGAGAAAGTGAAAGAGTTTCTATTCCTAATGGTAAAACACCAGAGGTAAAAATCCGTGAGTTTAATATTAAAAATCCGTGAAGTCATATTATAATAACAGAAAATAAATGTTTGACATTTTTACAGGGAATTGGAAAAGCGTTTCTGACACGCTTTGTCAGGGAGAGCGGGGTTGGTTGTCGTCCTCTTTATTGTCCAGTGAATAAGTCATGATCCATTCCTCGATTATTGATAACCTCACAAGTCTGAAAAACTTGACTCCCCTGTCAGCGTTTTGAATTATTTCAGCTGCAAGTGATAAACTTCCAAAAACAATTTAACACGTCTTTATGTTTGTCCACGGGATTTCTGTGAAAAAAAGATTAAAAAAAAAAACGTTTTTTTTTCAACTGCAGACATCAGTTTTCAAAACAGCATCTCTTTTGCACTAATCACTGCCCGTTGTATTTGTTTGATTAGATTGTCCACTTTAAAAGAGAAAAAAACGAGTTAATGTTTGAAGTTTGTAAGGGCTTTAGAATTATGGATTAGATTTTTATTTATTTTGGGATAGTGTGTGTTAGCGGAAACTTTAGGGACAAGATAAAAAGAGCTTAAGTAGACAGTAAAATAACGTCCCAATGAACACAGAAAATTGTTTTATAAAAAAATGACATTTTGTATGTTATATCAAGTTATGATAATCAATTTATTTATATTTAGAATTTAGATATTTTCAAACATCTTGTGTCTTCCTGTTATCTCTCATATGTGTGTTGGTGTTACCCTAAAACCCCAAATTTCTTCCAATTGGGATAAATAAACTTTTGACTATTTTGATGGTTGAGAAGACACAAGTAGACTAACTTCACCAAGTGTGCCACAACCAGCTCAACCTGTTCCCTTGGCAAGGATTTGATGACAGCAGTCACTGTAACAAGCTAAAACCATAGGCTTAAATCAAAGCTTCCAAATTCCACTTTTTGATTGATGTTTGGTTGTTATAAGACAAATACCCCCAAACCCTTAACAGTCTGCAGAACTATTCTAACTTTAAAAAAAAAATCACAAACTTTCTCCTCACCCTGGTGTCTAATCTGGTTAAAAATTGGCCAAACAGCACCCAAATGTTGAGCATTTCTAGGCAGTATGACAACCAACCTGGTCTCCCATCTCAACAGTAAAAAGGAAGATATAAATGACTTAATTACAAAAAATACCAAAGTGAATTAAAGGTTAAAAACATTTGAAGACATATCTGAAAATGTGGTATGATTTAATCCCTTTAGAAATAATCTATTTTCACCCACTCAAACTGACAGAGGAGGAGTTCGAGATTTCAAAGTGTTTAATTTCATTATGAGACTGTCAATAGAGAAAACAACATCCTGTTGTTTCCAATTGAAACTTTTTGTTATCTCGCTTTTTAACGCACTCAAAAAAATCTTAATACTAAACTCTCCACTCTCTCTAATTTATGGATTTTACTCCCAGACACTGCCTCTCTAATTTCAGCAACTTCGACATAGACGACCTCATCTCTAAACTGGAGTAAATCTGATTTAAGATGAATGTTTCAAAATGTTTCACACATAATTTCGTTAAATTTAACCCTTCAACAAACCACGACTGCCCTGCCTTTTTTTGCGTCGGGCCCTCTGCAGTGGCCTCAGCCTGGGCCCACCTTTTCATTCCCTTACGCCACCCAGACTCCACTGACTACATGTGGCCACTAGGGGGAGCTCGAGTCCGCGTCTGCAGCATGAACTCCACCTTGGCGAGCACGTTTGCAGTTTAAGGTTTTATCTCCTATTTTAAAGCTTATGGGCCTATTAGAGGAGTTAATTCACTCCAGAGTTCTCACGTTCAATGTTGTTTTGCCTCTTTTAACAGTGTATCGCAGTATCAGTGAGGTCTACTAAAGCTGCTCTCAGCATCAAAACCTTCTGCAAGTCATCAGTGACTTATAACCACGACGTGTTAAGAACATCTCCACAAATCGGTCCCTACAGACCACTCCACTCTCACGTCTCCTGCCTTCACTCTACTATAGCTGTAGGCTCTTCTATACCTCTGAGCGCAGGAAGGCGCTCAGAGGTCCCATGTGAGCCATTTCCCCTCCTGTCATTCATCTTCATAACAACCCGTTTAGTGTAAAATTAACAACGACTTAACTACAGCGCCCATAAACACGTCCGTGCATTACCGGCAGACGGATGGATGGATGGATAGATGGATGGATGGATGTAAGTGCGCGCTGGAAAGGGAAAGTGTGCACGGTGCATGTCTTTCTAAAGACACCGGACCTTGTTTTGTCTGCAGTGGGGGTCTCTGGTGGGGCCCCCCCAGGGGTCCTCTGAAGGGTTTTCATTGGTCCAGATGTTGCAGCAAAATCAGAGAATTTACCGTCTGGTGATGGAAAAAGTTGCACCTGCTTTATCCGAGTGCGCAAAGTTTGGACATGACACATCAGGAGTTCACGCTATAGGAGGGGAAAGAGGTAACGATGCTGGAGTCAGCATCTGCTATAGCTGTTAAGAAGGGGAGTTCACAAAAGCAGTTCCTGGTCAGACTTATCAGATGTGTTTTAGATTATCCTAGAGGGCCATCAGACCTGTAAAAAAACACACCTTTAGATCTGAGAAACCTTTGTTCTATTTGTGAAAATGCATATAAAATGCTGATCCTACTATTATCCCCCTCTTGGATCCCATCGGACCTGGCTGTGAAAGTGAAAATTCATCTACTTCTCCTACTAAGGGCTCTACGAACCTGAAACTGTGTTTTAAAAGTTCTGAAGACCCCTGTTATAATCTAGGTTCCTGGGCGAAAAGGAACAAAATCTCTTTTTTGTGCATTTTCAATGAGAGATTCAATGATTTAAACTCGAAGCTTGTTTTTCAAATGTCTGAAGACATCCCTGAGATAATCTTGTTCCGAGCTAATAAATCTGTTTTTCTTTACCTCATTCTTGACAGATGCTTGGAAGCTGCGAATCAGATGTGAACTTCAGCGTCGCAAGGAGGTAGAGGGGTTGGACGTGAGGGGGGTAGGGGGTGGTGGTGGTGGGGGTGTCTGATAATTTGGTCTATAGCCGTGTAATCCCGCCTGATTTCACCTAATACCACCGACCCGACGCAACAGCGTGCGCGCACATCCCCCGATGTGATAATGGCGCGATGTGAAATCCAGCCTGCTCCTTTTATTGTAAAGCTTTTTTGGAAATGGAAGTGTGGTGGCGGTGGTGGTGAACCGGCGTATATATTTAAAGGGATGTGTGGGGGACTACCAAAGCCTGAAATTCCTCCGCAAAAAAAAAGCCAGGGACTACTGTAGATTTAAGAGGGATTTGGAGATAAAGCCCATCGGAAATAAAAACATTAAAACCAAGAAAATTGGGTTTTTGTGAGAGAACAGAAATCTTGTGCGAGGGTTCTGCCTCAGACCATTTCTTTCTATATCCTTTTCTTTATTTTTTAAAATTCTAAGTAGCCTATTACACTAATAATTTCTCTACGATCAGCTTCAATTGAGTAAAGGAAGAAACAGATCAACACAGTCTGACAATCAATCATTAAATCTTGGCATTTTGCGGGGCCACGTTAAATCTATAAGGCATCAAATTTCACTCAGGTGAGTCCAGCGGTCTGAAAAATGTCCAGTAAATGTTTACATTTCTTCTAGTGTTCACAAAGTGGTTTCAAATTGCAGGTCAAAATCTTCAAAATGATCAATTTTGGATTTGGTTTCAGTCAGCGCACGCTCTGCTCACATACATCAAGCTGTAGATGAAATATTTTAATTTCGGAAATAAACAGTGAGGCCTTTTCGGATGTTTTTGATGCTCTCATTTTAAGTTTGTTTATATCGCCTGTAGAGTGAAATCACAGCGCGTCTTTACGCACGGTTTTAGAAATCACCACAAAAGCAACAAAAGCCGCTACTGGAGAGAGAAAGGGGGGAAATTAAGGTATGAAGAGGAGCATGGAAAAGAGGGAGTGGGGGTATTGTGTGCAGGCTGGTTGGGGGTGTGCAGGGATTGGAGCTGATTTATCTCAGGAGCCCCCCTGGTCATTTCCATATATTGAAATGCGCCCCCAGTCACTCAATTTCCCCGGAGCTGTCGTGCGTGTAGGGAAGGCGCGCATGTGACCACCGCCACTCTGAAACCATGTCCGCTCTTTTTTTACGCTCCTTTCAAACTCTACTCCTTTCAGTGTTTTATGACGGATCGTCAAAGTTCATCCAATGAGTGCACGTGTGTTCTGAATACATAGGTAAGGATAGAAGCGGATTAAAACGTTGAATAGGAGGAACAAAGTATGGCCTGCGTATGACGAGGAAATGCATGACTTCTTCCAAACAAACACCTGAACGCGGAACGAGACTTAATTATTCCTGATGATTTTCTGTTCGTTTCAAATGAGAAATATGAGGATGAATGTGTTTCTCACTGTGATTTGCATGTATGCACACATATACACAAACATGCAACCCGGCCCTGCCCCTCCATGCATGCATGCAGATTGCTGCTGCACCTCCACAGCATTAAACATGCAGGCTGACTGATGTATGACGGAACCGGCGACGCGCTACTGCCATTTACATATAGAGATCCCCCTGCGCGCTCCCCGAGTCCGAGCAGCTCTGCGGGCTTTGATCAATGTCCCGCCTTGACTCGCTGTGTACGTGAATATGTGTGTGTGTGTGTGTGTGTGTGTGTGTGTGTGTGTGTGTGTGTGTGTGTGTGTGTGTGTGTGTGTGTGTGTGTGTGCATTAGGGGGTGTATAAGTCAGAGGAGGCAGAGAGAGAGAGAGAGAGGGAGAGAGAGGAGGAGATGGGAGGAAGAGAAAAAGGAAAAACAGTCTTTGTTGCCAACAGATGGAGCGGGGTGTAGGGAGAGGTCAAGGTTAGTGCTCTCGGATGTGTGTGTAGGGGGTGTAAAATCGAGGGCCCCCCTTTAAGTGTGGGTACCAATTGGGGGTGGCATGGGCTCTATTAAACTCAGGAGGACAAGTTTCGCCTGACAAATGAGCTCCAAAGGTTTAGAAAGACACTCGTCTCTGCGTAAAGGTGCGAAAACTTTGGCACTCTGGCCTGGAAGGAATTAAACCCCAACACCTCAAGTAATCAATAACCGATCCTTTATAAACCGCAATTAAAACTATGAAGTCTCTGCTTCCTCCTGCATGCTTTAACTCAGCGCTGCCGTGTCACACAGCCTGTAAACGTTTCTAGAGTTACTGGATCAGGTTCAGTGGGCGCGGTAGCCGCCTGTCGCCATCCAGACCAGCAACAGGCCACCCAAGACTCACAATAGCCAAAGAGAAATGAGCAGAGTCCCTCCAATTTATCCCCGATTACTCTCTTTGAAAGGTCGAGGCATTTGTCAAAAAAAAAAAAAAGCCAAGAATCACATCTTTTCAAATCTTTTCTCTGCTCACTTCTGCAGTTTTTTTTACGAGGATTTGTAACGCATCTTTAATCCCTATCAGGGCACATAGATGCGAGAGTGAGAGTGGACCCTCCATCTCTGATACACTCTTCAGATTTCTGAGAAGTTTTCTAAAATTAGGATTAAATGAGGGAGGAAAGCGTTAAAGCTGAGGGTTAAATATTGAAAATTGTTGAGAGTAAATCTTGAAATCGACACAAACTTTTACATCCAAACAACATCCATTTCATCAGTCTAAATGTACAGATAAAACTATGAACTATTACTCGCCGAGAGTGCACCTTTTGATTCACTTTGATCCTGAAAAATATTGATCATCGCGTCAAATCGATTTTCCAAACCTTTACGCGCGCACTGACCATCTCCGGAAACGTTGTACTAAGTCGGTTTTGAAATATTTATGCGTCTTTGCAGTCTTACATCCAAGCTTGAATTGATGCCCGAATAAAATGTGCATTTTTTCTCTCTCATGGGTTTATGACAAGAAATAGACTCAAATGTGACAATAATCATAAAGCTCTACTACGGCTCGGCAGCAGAAACTGTTTACATCTCTAATTTAACCGTGAAGTAATCCTAGTTATCTCCGTGCGCCTTTTCCTCCGTGCTCAGCGGTAGATTGTGGTCTGAGGGTGTAACATTCATCGCCGTCTGCAGATAACTTTCTGTTTTAGGTGAACTGGTTATCAGCGGTAAATCACCAAATCTCTCCTGTGAGCTCTAAACCTGCCTGAACTTTGACACCCGATCACAAACAGGAATAATCACCCCTGTGAGGGATTATCACTGTGCGTGCATGCGCGTGAACACACATCCACTCACGCCACGCATCGGCCCGTCTAATAAGCCATGCAGCGAGTTGCAACCTGCAAAATATTTCACTCACTGGTCATGCATTTTTCCCCCTTGACGTTGAACCTCCTCCTCCGGCTTTCCTTTCTCTCTCCTCTCTCTCTCCTTCTCTTCTCTCTGTCTCTCACCCATCACCTCCCGCCTCCTCCTCCTCCTTTTTTTTCTGTCTTGCCTCCCCTCCACCACCCCCACCCCCTTGGTATTAAGTGCGCGTCCTCTTCGGTCAGTGCGCGTAGCTCCAGGTCCCCGAAGCACCACTCGAGTAGCCACTGCCTCCTCTGTCTCCGCCGCTGCCGCTGCTGCTCCCGCGCCGGGCTGCTTCTCCTTGACTGCACCGCCGCTGCTGCGCTTCCCTGTCGGGCGAATCTCTCTCGTACCATCCGTCTCCTTTTCCATACGACTCATCCACACATTTTAGCCTTCTGTCTCTAAATTTCGCGGCGTCTCTCTCCCCTTCATGTCTGCGTCTTGAAAGCCGGATCGCCGCGTTAGATGCGCGGCGCCTTCGCCGTTTTAAGCCCCGCGTCTTATATTACCAAACCCCCTTTATTACAAGAGTATTTACAATCTCTTCCCCCTCCTCTTCTTCTTCTTCCTCCTCCTTCTCCTCCTCTCCACTCCTCTCCACAACCCCCCCTCCACCACCAACACACCCTCCCCTGTACCGTATGCAGCTCGAACCTGAGGCACATCTGAAAGTTATTACACGGGGCGCTTATGTGCCCGCTCGCGCTCCCACGGTCTGCACGCGGGTGGCTGTAGTGTGGATTTCACGCAGACAGTTACAGACACAGACAAACAGACGGGCAGAGAGGCGAGGACCCTACAGTGCCCCTTCTAAAACTGCCCCCTCTTCAAAAATAGACGTACAGTGCGCTTCCAAATACAGTGCACACTGTGCGCCTTCTTCACTTAAGAGCGGCTGAATGTCAGTTTATGACACTCAAACACTCGTGCATAAGTGACCCAGACCTCAAGATCAGACATGAATACCCATAATGCATTTAAATAAATACCAATAAAAAACAGCCGAACTTTTTTCAGTTTGAAAATTGATTCTTTAAGGAAGTTTGGTGCAGACAATAAATGCGTAAAAATGTCTCCCCCTTTTTGAAAATAAAATGATAATGCACTACTTTAGTGTATATTTGAATAAATCTAATAAACGCACTCAGTTCAGGAACTCTTTTTGTATTACTTTAGAGAAAACGACCTGCAGCACTGTGATTCCAGCCCAGGTGTTGTTGCAATAATATTCCTTCTTTGTTTTACGCGGTCTGGATGTGATTATCATCTGCAAGCAGCAAGCTGTGTATGAGTGCACACACACATATATAAAGCTATATGTAAAGCATATTAAGTGAAGGCACCAGGTTATAGTCTGTGTCTGTGTCTGTATCCCTCCTTGTTCAACCTGTTCGTCCTGTTCGCTGCAACCGGATAGTTTTCTGCGCTCCTTCACATTTCTACATCTCTTCCTCTCTCTCTCTCTCTCTCTCTCTCTCTCTCTCTGTGCCTAACATGGCCTGTGCGAGCACGCGCTTTAAGGACACAAATGGACATATATATGTGTGAGTGCAAACGCGCGTCCAGCAGGTGAAACAGTGTGGACAGCTTTAAAGCGCTTCTCTCGGGTTTAAACAGCGGCTACCACAAGCGACAGACTTTGTTCTCACACACACACCGACACACTCACACACACACACTCACACCGACACACACTCACTCCTCCGGTGTGGAGTGTATGCAGCAGTGTGATATCCGCCCCCCTCCAGCGAGCTCCTGTCCGCGGCTTCCTTTGCCCTGTTTTGCGTCCACCTCTCTCTCTCTCTCTCTGTCTCTCTCTCGCTCTCTCTGCATATTGCTTTCATTAGACATCGCTGCCTCTTTCTCACACGCGCGCACACACACATTCGCACACTCCTCCCTCCCTCCAAGTGCCTCTAGTCCGGCCCCCCTGATCTCTATGTCCATTGGCTTCCACTGGGTCTATTTCTCATGTCCAGCCCCCCTCCCGCTCCCGTCACTTCTCTCTCTCTCCCTCTCTCTCTCTCTCTCTCCCTCTAATGACCGTCCATTGGTGTTGTTATTGCGCGTCCCGTCCGTCCCTCCTCCCACTCCCACTCCCACTCGGGTGCCTCGGCCCTGCCCATGTTTTTGTATGTCGGGTGTCTGTCCATCGCCTGACGTTCAAGTTCGCCGGGAACGTCACGTCCGTGCACTTGAACTTGCACAGCTCAGAGGGGGGGTTGAGGGGAGGGGTGGCGGGCGGGGGGGGGGTGGAGGGGGGGGGGCTTTTGCCATTTTTTCCATCTCTCTCCCCTTCTCTCTCTCTCCATCTACCTCTCTCACACACTCTCTCTCTCTTTTTTCTCCACTCTCCTTTCTCAAAAAAGCCATGACGGCGATCCCGCGATCCATCTTCGCCTCCACGCCATCTTTGTATTATTTCTAATTTATTTTATTTTTTTGCCTCTTGTGGATGTCAAAGGCGTTGGATGAAGATATATTTTTGCCCCACCGGAGTCTCCTCTGTAACCCCGGCTCTCCCCGATGTGATCCGCGCTGAACGCTGCCGCCGCCAGCCACCATGTCTCGCCGCAAGCAAGGCAAACCCCAGCACTTAAGCAAGCGGGATTTTTCGCGTAAGTAGAGATGACAAAAAGCAAGAAAAGCGTGTTACTTCTGGCTTCTTTTCATTTCATGCAACACAGGGGAAGGGGAGGGGTGGGAGGGGGGGAGCAGGGAAACTGGAGCTTGTGGACACCGGACGCACCGCTCGGACCCGCGGTCAAGTGGACTTACCTAGAAAGTGCGACAGCTCCGTGCGTAAAAAGACACCCCGAGATGTGAAAATTGCAAAAGAGGTAAAAGTTTTGTCTGTCGGTTAACACTCTTTCCTGCTCAGTGGGAATGTGCAGTCTGGAGCTGGTAGATGCACGCGCTGTGGCTCCGGTGCCCCCTCGGTCTCCTTCGGTCAGTGGAAGCGCGCAGGGCTCCCGGTATCAGAGCGCGTCCTCTTCGCGGAGCTCCGTGGAGAAATTCAACCTCCGGAATATCGCTGTTTGTGATAGCTTCTCTGCAGACAGGTTGTCATCTGCTCTCTCTCTCCCTCTCTCTCTCTCTTCCCTCTATTTTTGGATTATTTTCAGGAGTGAAAACTTGGATTTTTGGAGCAAGGGGAGAAAATCTCGTGTCCGATTGTTTACAACTGCTCTTACCGTCAGCAGTTTGCTATCAGAAACAACAAAATTCCATCAATTTTTATACTGAGAAAAACACAAATGTGTCCAATAAAGGCTGCTTATTGGTGTTTAGTTCACGAGAAGCTTCCTCCAATAAACAGACAGCCGAGCCGCTGCAGCACTGAGTTCCAGAGGCAAGAAACACAGCAACAGGACAGGAGCTCAGAGTCATGTCAATTATGTGATTTTTACTTTTAGAGAGTGATTTGAACCCACTAAAATAGTCACATGACTCTTAGGTTCATGCACAGTAAAGGTAAGATGTAAAAATCAGCTGGTTTGTGTGAAGTACATGCAGCATTGTGAGGAAAAAGCACAAAATTCCAACAATGTTTGGAGGAATCTGTCTTTACGCACGGCTCTAACTCGTCAGGAAAGCTTTGTGTTTTGCAATTTATTAGTCGAACAAATTAGATTTGCGTCGAGAAAGCAGAGAAGTGTGTTTGGAAACTGCGGGATGATTGGCAAAGTAGCGCTTATCACCGCACCATGTGCCGCACTAAACGCCACCTCGCAGTTTTTCTGGAGCTCTCTAAGTGCCCCCTTAAACCCAAAAAGAAGGAGATATTCGGGCATCTTTACGCACCGCTGCTTGATTATGTTTCGGTATGTTGACTGGCTGTCGCCTATGTTTGGTTTGGAGAGAGAGAGTGTGTGTGTGTATGTATGTGTAATGTGCACTGTGTGTGTGGCCCGGCTGGGTGACAGCGCAGCCACCATGTCCACGAACCGTCGCTAGGAGGCAGAGCGCGATCAGAAAATCCAGCGCTGAGCTCGAACCTGATCAGTTTCACCGCCACCCCTATCTACACGGGCTACTATTTGGCGATCTCTTTAGAATAAAGGGAGAGTATACAAGACATGGGGAGGGGGGGAGGAAAGGAAGGAAGGAGGGAGGAGGGGAGGGAGGTAGAGAGGAGGACCCCCCCCTCCAACCTCATATCCAAATCTACAGTTCCTCTTCATCACCTCAATCCCACCTTCTCTGCTTGTATCTCCTTATTTTGTGCATCATATTAGTACATGCTGTAATCAGCATATGCAAATACACCGTGTGCCTGCAGACCTCACCTTTTACCCCCTGCAACCTCACAACACATACACACATGACATTTTGAACATGCATTTCTAGGTGTTACTAATGCAGCTTAAAATCTCTGAAAAGGCAAATATTTATCTGTATTCGTTTCCAGTTTTTAGCACGTGTGTTTCACTTTCTTTTTTTTTTATTCAGTGTGCATTTTTGTTGGATTAAGCACTTGGTGTAGCACATCGGTTTCAGAGTGTACCTGCTCAGTGAAACTCCCTTTAAGCTGCAAAAATGCAACTGAAATCAACAGTGCTTTTTACACAGTTCAAAATTACAATTTCTTCCCTTTCTTCTGATTTTTATTCAAAGTCAGTTGCACCTTTTTGTCAATAAATTCAATTAGATCTTTTAGGGCAGAGACCCAGCCTGCACAGAGATGAGTTTTATTAATTTATTGTACAAACTTTTCACCTCACACCCAGTAGGAACAGGGCATTAATTTCTTCATTTTAGTCCTTTTTTTAGGAGCTGTGAGTGTGCATGTTTTTGATAAATTTACAGGCAGTGCAGACACACGTCCCTCCTCTGCTCCTCTGTTTATTTCACCCAGCTGCGTGCCTAGGAAAAAAAGTCACAAAAAGGTGACGATTACACGCTCTCACTTAGAGAAAATGGAAGTCTATGTATGTATGGAGACTTCATTTATATGAAAAAGAAAAAAAAAGTATTTAGGTCTCACCCCTCCCTCTCTGAGCTTGGTTAAATCCAACTGAATGTTATGTTTTTCAAACAGCGGATATCCACTCTGCTTCAGAGGTGAGGGGCTTACGCAGCTTTCATTAGATTTTTTTTGGTGGTTTTATCCTGATCTGTTGTGTAACATGCGTGGCATTGTGTTGGGCTAAAGTTGAATCAAAGAGGGGCAGGGTTGGGAAAAAGAAGTGTGTGTGTGTGTGTGTGTGTGTGTGTGTGTGTGTGTGTGTGTGTGTGTGTGTTGGGGTGGGGAGGTTGAGAGGGTAAGTTAGTGGAGGTGGTGCGAGAGCAGGGAATTTATCATGTTATCTCCATGTCCCAGTTTGCGCACAGATGTCGTGCAGGATTGCGGCATTCAAATGATATTTCCTTCAGGGGATGGAGTCTACATTCAGACCCGTGCTATCACTCTATCTCTCTCTCTCTTTCCCTGACACACACACATACACACTTATCCCCCCCCTCCCCACGTACACACACACTCGCACACACACACTGTGTTACACATGCATGCACAGGATCCCTTTTATCAGACAAAATCTGTACCAATCAGCCAGACAGTGAAAATTAAAATCTATTTTTTGACTCTCAGTGGTTTTAAGTTCATTAAAATGTGAAATTGGCGGCTGAGTAAAGAAGGTCAACATGCATTAGGCGGCTAGCACAGAGTCAGACTCTTCACCTTGGACTGGAAGATTTCCTTTAAAAGAGGGACAGTGAATTATGTCCTCCCGTCTCGCCTCTCTAATTCAGCGGGCTGCTCTCTTCACACTCCTCTCCCTCTGCTGCAGGACGGACTGAGCTTTCACAAAAGGCTGCTTAAAAAAAGTAGTTAGGAGTTAATCCAGCCCTTGGAGGGGTGAGGAATCGGGTTGAACGGCTCTTTTTTGGGGTGATTTCCCGCTGTAAAAGCGGCTAGTATCTACGAACTGTAAGTCAGGCTCATGTAAGTGAACAAGGCAGAGGAGAGTCCTCCTTCCTCCTGACACACTCTCTCCGAGTCGCCTGCCTCTCCTCGCCTCTCCTCTCCCCGGCTCAGACGCTGCTTTGTGACAGTTCTTCCTTCTGCTGATTACAGGATCAAAATCTGTACAAACAGAGATAGACAAGTCATCCACATATTTAGTTTATGTGTTTAACCATCATTTTTCTAAGCTCTCCCTGTAATTGGCTCTGAAATGGTTATCTTTGAGGAATCTGATTTAAGCTTTGCAGCTATTCAGCATATTCTTTCCCACCATTTTACTCCTCTGATGTGTGATCCAGATCAGCTCGCGTTGTAATCATTTTTTCTGCGTTGCATGCATTTCTATCATTACAAGGCACTCTTTCCCAGTCCCTCATTGTGTGCACCACATGTCAGCTTGTGTTTAGCTCTGACTTTAACTCTGATCCTCCGTGTCACTTCCTCTTCTTGTCATTTATTCCCTCAAATAGTCGTATCAATAGTTTTTTTTTATCCCAGGAAAAATCTAAACATGTGGTTGTTGCTTTTTTTTTCTGCTGAGTGTAACCATCACTTTCTAATTTCACTCTCACTCTTCCCTCCCACCCCTCTCTTCTTCTTCTTCTCCCCCTTCCTCTGCGCCTGTTCTCCCCCTCTGCCTCACCAGCAGCCGAGCCCCTCTCCACGGCCGTCGTCTCGTCGGAGGAGCTGTCGGAGCGCTGCTCGGAGAACTCGGAGGAGAGCGGCAGCTTCAATGGGCACCACCCGGGCTCGACTGTGGGCCGGCTGGCCCGGCTGGGTCATGACCCCTCTCACCCTTCCCTGGAGCAGGACCTGCTGACCTGCGGCCAGTGCCAAGCCACCTTCCCCCTGGCGGACATCCTGCTCTTCATTGAGCACAAAAGGAAGCGATGCCACGGGCCGCCCTGCCTGACTGTAGGCAGGGGGCTGGACAAGCCCCCCTCGCCTTCCCCTGGCCTTGCCCTCACCCCGTCGCCCGCGCTGGGCCCTCTGCGCAGCAGAAGGCCTGTGGAGGTGGGCGTCCAGGCCACGATGGCAGACGACGATGAGGATCGGTTCCCTTCGCCTCGGGGGATTTTTCCCAAACAGGAGCCCCTCCCAGGTAACCAGACGTGTTTCCACACCAACAAACACACTCCACCTTTGTCTGGATGTAACCACAGCTGCCGAGGTACTCAAGTTAAGAGAGAAGCAGCTCAGTGAGGCTGCCAGAGCAGCTCTGTTGAGGCTGTGATTGTCGGCTTTGGTGTGAAAAGAGGAGCTAAAATATGTCAGAACAGAGAAATCAGAGCTGCAGATTGTCTATTTTTAATCAACCTTTCTCACTCATGAAGGGATAGATCGACTCCTCCAGCGTTGAGATTTTACTCCTCTTACATTCTCGGGAATGGGGTGACTTTAGTGCACGAGTGTATTTTGCAACTCCAGGTTTGTTTCTTATTGTCGACACAATGTGCGAGTATTGTGGTAGTCTCCAGTCTGGCCTCCATATTCCCGATGATCTCCATCCAAATCGTGTGTGGGGGCTGACGCTGTCTGAGCAGGAGTTATTCATTTTTCGAAGGGACACGTCCATGTCAATCCCAGTTAAGGATAGAAATCTGATTGGCTGAGAAATGTTTGGGGGGATGTTTCAGACAAACAACAACAGCGGGACGTCACAGATGGGGAGGAAACCCGGGAGAGTACGCCTCTGTTTTCTTTTATAGCTTTGAAAAAAAAAAGGACACACACTGCTTTGATTTAGAACAGCTTTCTCTCCCCGTCTGTGTGTGTGTCTGTGTGTGTGAATAGTCTGTTTTTATGGTCTCGTGTAAAGAGAAGTGTTTGTGCATGTGTAATATGATGTTACAGTCCCACATCTGAATATTTGTCTTTTTGGCGATCTGCTGAATTTGGTGCACAAAAATAAAAGTGTGTGTGTGAGTGTGTGTGTGATGTCCCCCACAGAGAGACTTAGATGACCTTGACTTTGTGTTACCTCTGGTCAGCGTGTGATCGCTCCGTGTTGTGTTGGGTGTTAGTAGAAGTGTGTTTGACTCCGTCCGGGGAGTCACTGCAGCCTCTTTTTGGGATTGTGTGTGCAGAACGTGTGTTCTTTCATAACACTTGAGTGCGTGTGTGTGTGTGTGTGTGTGTGTGTGTGTGTGTGTGTCGTTCTCTCATGTGGCCTCAGCAGATGTGTCCTGCTCTCGATGTGGTTTGCCCCCTCTTTCACTGCCATCTTACCCGCTCTCCATCCCTTTCATTTCTTTCCCTCGCTTCAGTTTACCTCCACACCAAACTTCATAGGTAAAACGTGCGATTTTACTCCGGTTTTTATCTCACCCTTTTCCTCCCTTTCCTTTCCTTCCTTTCGCCTCTTTTCTCAGTACAAATGAGAGGCGAGCGGCGAAAGGGAAACGCCAATTTTAGCTTTTTCTCTTAGAGGGGAAAGTCGTTTATTTAAAGCGTCTTAACACCACTAATTATTTGTTGCAGCGCCATTTTTTTTCTTCTTCCTCGTGCATTTTAATTAGCAGTAGTTTTTTCAGTGGCGGGCTGCCTGTACTAAATTAGCCGTTACAGAAAGAGAGAGAAGGGGGAGGGAAAGAAGCGGGGAGAGAAGATGAAATAGAGCAGCAGAAACAGAGCAGAAAAATACTCACTTTATCAGTTTGCTCGTTGAACGCAGCTTAAGATTCCTAAATGTTGCACTTTGTTTCTGTTTTGGAGTTCGGGTGCATTTGAGGAAGTTTCGCATTCGCAGGAGTTTTCGGCGAAGTTTTGACCTTTAACCTTTCCTCAAAGAGATGAATCTGTCTCCAGCTTTAAGGAGTTGACACTTTTTTTTCTCTTCCCGCTTGTATCTCTACTCTCACGATAACATTTCAACACCCACTCCCACACACACCCTCTCACACTCACAGACACTCACCGGCTAAACTGGGTTATTAGAGCGATTTACATCATAATACAGGCGTCTGGTTGCTTCAATAGCATTGTGTGTGGGAACGTCTTGGTAGGAACAGCTGTACACTCAGACAGGAGGAGAAGAAAACAGGACAGCAGCGTTATATATCTTGTCTGAAGTTGACGTCAAGCCCAAACAGCAGACAGACCGAGCATTATTAAACCGAGGAGAAAAAAACTGGCTTGTAAAAATATCCATCTGCGCAAGGAATTCATCATTTTATTTACATGTCTCCTCTTTAATCAGCTCTTTTTCTGGATCTCCTCGCAGCCACTGGACACACACCAGTGCAAACACCACCTCACAGGCTGAATTTATGCAACACATCCATCCTGATAGGCGATAATTAAAGCCAGTATCTCCCTCCCGACCCCGGCTTTCATCCTAATTGACCCCAAACTGTCACGCTGAGGTAAATACGTGAAAAGGCAAGAAAGAAGAAGAGAAATCAGCGGGAATTTAAACCACGATGATCGCCGCCCAATAAGCATTCTTAATGACAAAAGAAGGAGGAGAGGGAGGAATGTGTGTGTGTCAATGCCGGTGTGTGTCCATCTCCAGTGAGAGGCCTGGACTCAGCATCAAAACTGTGACAACAGGAATAGAAAAGCATCAAACTCACCATCAGAACACAGTTTTTTATTTATTTATTTTTTAATTTTAACAATTTCTCAACAATCCAGCAGAGATTCAATCTGTAAATTGGGATCTAGATGCCTTTATTATCATTTTATCATCTTGTCCTCTTATGTATCGAATAGAAGAAATAGATTTTCTCGTCTTGGTTGAGATATCCAGGGAATATTTTCCACCATATGATGCAGAAATTGTGACGCCCTCTCCTTTATCTCTGCATATGTAGCATGTTTTTCTTGCATGCATCCTGCCTACATAATGGGATGTCTGTGTATCTGCGGTCCACGGTCAGAGAAAGAGGTAGAGAGAGAGAGAGAGAGAGGGAGAGAGAGAGCTTCTCTAGCTGCTGCGAGGCTCAGAGGAACACAAAGCGTCGGACTTGTGCCGGAACGCTGCTATTTACATATCAAACAGCTCCGACCGTGAACAGACATTACCTGTACGTGTGTGCGTGTGAGGGAGGGAGAGAGAGAGAGAGAGAGAGGGAAAAGACTGTACAGGCAAAATGCCGATCAGGGATGCAAAAAGGCAGCATACCCGCCCACCCACACCACACACACACACACACACTCACACACACACCGTTAGAGCTCCCTCTCTCTCTCTTGCCCATTTATTCTATTAATCCCTGACTGAGATGAAAATTCTGATTATAATCCCTGAGGCGCCCCTCATTCAGAAACAGCATTGCTAATGTCTCAAAAGAGAACCCTTTGCATATATGTGTGTGTGTGTGAGTGTGTGTGTGCGTACATTGATGTGTGAATGGCCACGTCTCTTTTAACCGAAAGAAGAAAAAAAAAAATCCTGGCTTGAAAATTTCAATTTTCAAGCAAATTCTTTGTGGATTATTTCAGCTGTAAATACAATTCCTGCTGTCCAGTTTTGCCAATTGATTTCTTATAATTGGCACCAGCGTTTTAATCCCTCCCTCAATGGGAAATCAGTGATAATATGTGTGTTAATGAGCTGAAATTGATACCCAGCCAGTGCAAAGAATAACTCATTTTATTGACCATTGGTTTTATTGAGCAATATCAGCTGGAGAGCTCTAACAGCGCTGCGATATTTGCTTATTAACAGAGATATTATCACGTCATGTGCATGTTGTCAAATCCCAAAAATTCTTCACATGAATTCATCCAACACATGATTATTTTCAGCCCTAAATTTAGAGGAGTCTCCCTGACTTGTAGCCTCGTAACATGAGAATTGTTAGCCTATGATCTAATGATTAGCAATTAGCTTATCATTGCTGGCTAATGCTTCCCACCTCAATACACATTAGTGCATTTTTAACACCCATCATTGTCTGGCTCCATGTCAGATCTCCCTCCATCGCGTTTCTATTCTCTCCCTCCTCTTCGTTTTTTTTTTTTTTTTTTCCTCTTTGGCTCATTCGTCCGTCTCTCTGCCTGCAACATTAGCACTCAATGCAAATCCGAGACAGCCAATTGATACTGAATCAATTACAGTATGTTTGGTGTGTGTGTGTGTGTATGTGTGTGGAGGACATAGCGGCGAGCCTACAAAGAGATTTCACACACTGGCTGCCATTACTAATCTATTGTTGCTGCGTCTTTCTTTCCCAACATAAGATTTTATTTAGTGGACTCAAGTGCAGTGTTTGAACTGCAGCGTTTTCTCTCCCAGTGCAGCGAGCCTCTGACTGTGTCTGAATGAGCTTACTGAATGTAAACATGCTCGGGGTGTGCGGAAAGCATCAGCTGAAGGATAAAACATACAGCAGGCCACTGGAACAACTGGAAAAGCTAATAATCTGCCAGCGAGGCCAACAGGCTGTATTGTGTTTTATACTCAGCGCTCACAAAGAAAAACCTCTATAAAAGTGCATATTTGCTGATTATTGTCCTGCTGTAAATGTGTGGGTGTGTGTTTGCAGAGCGTGTCTGCGATCCAGACGGAACCCAAAAAAAAAAACAAAAAAACTTGGAAGTCAGTGCTGACAAAATTTGGACGCTTTAATAAAGCAGTGAACGGAAAGAAATGATTTTTATGTTGCTGAAAATAGAGCATGAGCACTTCACGTGAATTTTTAAGTGGATTTTTTTTAAGGCCTCTGTTCGGAAAGTCCAGACCAGTGAGCCTGGATGATTTATCCTTTATCCTGTTTGGTAATGCATGCAGCACACACACACACACACCCAACCAACCCATATTTTGTTGCATAATAAAGTATTAAGGCAGCGTTGTTAGATTGCTGTAGTCTCTGCAGCTCAGTTAAAGGGGATTTCCACCTATTTAATGATATCTTTGTTTAAAATTTGGAGGTTCCCATCAGGGGCAGAAAGTTACCGATTACATCAACTCAGTCGTATTTTTGTGCTTTTTCAAGCAGTTTTAAAAATCACTACTATTACCAAGGTGTTTTCTATTGAAAGTATTATGCTGAACAATACTGCACATAGAATCATCCCTGAGTATAATAGCTTTTTATCATCTGCATGACAGCCGCTGATTTGATATACTGCAAAAACTCATATCTTACCAAGTGAATTTATCCCAATTCCAGGCAAAACATCTCATCACACGGATTTAAACATAAATCTCATGTCAAGATAGTTCAAGCAAAAACTTTCTTGATAAGCTTCTTTGAATTGTTAATACATGACTTTGTTTTTTTTTTATTATCAAGACTTTATTTTCGGCCTCTAATATCAAACCTCTCTGCACAACAGGGCCATGACTCAAGTGTGCAGGAATCATCTATGAAGTGCAATTTTAATAATGATTCCAAAATGTTCAAAAACTTCAACCTGGACAGACACTAAGACAAAATAATGCCACACATCGATGTTGTTGGTCATATTACAACAATTACTCTGAGAAAAATGTGCTTTTAGTTCATTTGGAGGGCATGCCTTACTCAGCTGCCCTCACTGCCATGTGCAAGAGGTCCTTTTTCTGCCCCTTTCCTAAGAAGTTGAACACACTGATAGATTTATTCCAACTTGAGTAAAAAGACATCATAGTAACTGTACTTTGACTTAAGCAGAGTATTTTAGCTCTCTTTCCTCAAACATGTGAAACAGGCTTCACAGAATGGTCAAAAACACAGCCACAAAAGCTGAGAAATCATGATTCTGAGTCTTAATTGTGGATCAAAATCTTCAAAATACTTAATTCCTCTAAAGCATCTTATATTTTTGTAACACATTGTATAGGGTGAAGTTAAAGTTTGTAATGCAGGCTTGACTAGGACTAAAAATCCCTCCTGTAGATGCACAAACAACATCAAGCATCATTTTTTAGCTCCTCTTTTGGCATACAATCTTAGGAATCCCCCTTTTTTAACAACTCTAGATTAAACCTTGAACTTGAAGTGCTTTGACAATGGTCTCTGACAGAATGTGACCTTTGACCTCTATTTGCAGAAGAGGGTAGAGGGGTGACGAGAGAATTGTCCTGACGCAGATTAGACTCTTAATGTTGTCATAGTTTGTAGAAGTGCAACAGTATTGTAAAAGAAAGCAGTTTTGATTGACACTTTTTTGCATCATTAGTGAGTTTTACTACAGTAAAAACACGCATTATAGAGTTACAAGCAAAAGTCAAATGTAAATCCACAGTACATCTACATCTAATCATTGATGCTGACATGATCAGTCGACATAAAAGCTGAGATTTCCTGTATCTGCTCGTGTTTTATCAACATTTACTGTAAAATAGGACAAACTACAGGCTTGCAGGAGTGTAAGTGTGTTTACTATTTCCATGCGTGTGCAGAATTGATCAGGTAAAGACAGCGTTTATTCAGGTGCATCGTCTGGCCGCACAGAAAGCATTGCATTTTGCATGTGCAGTAGGTTTGGATTAAATAGAGGAGCAGACCTTGAGTGGCAATCATTGCCACCACGGCTGAGCACACAGCAACAACAACAACAACAACGTCAGCATCAAAGGATAAGAAAAAAAAGAGGAAAAAAATCCAAGAGACGTCATGCTGCCCACACACTTTGATTGACAGCTGATCCCTGGGACGTCTGTGCCACAGCGACGATGACCAAAGATGGAGGCAGATGTGTAGAAAACAAAAGATTACGGTGGTCAGTAAACCGTCGTAAAACAATGACAGAGAACAATAAGACATAAAAAGGACCAGCGTTATTTCCCAGTTTGCAGTCTTCGCAGCTGTGACAGCGTCTCTGTGACGTCATGCCGACTGCTCCCTGTGATGGAGGATTGTTTATTGATCTGACTCGTCGTGTTTATGCGAGCGATTCGGCGTCCACGCTAACATCTCCTCCTCCTCCTCCTCCTTCAGCGTGGTGAGAGGGAAAGCTGCTGTTTTTGGCTCGCTCACTGCTCCCTGTGTGTGTGTGTGTGTGTGTGTGTGTTTGTGTGAGTTTATTCCTCATAGACACACACACACACACAAAACGCACACACCCTGCTCGGTCTGCTCAGGGGGTGCACATGTAACTCAGCTCTCTTATTATGTTGAAGGCAGTTGAAGGCCTGTTCATAAAACTGTTTATACACTACAAAGCTTATTTATATAGGCCACTGGATTACAGACTGGCTCTGCACACACACATACACACACCACACAGACACACACACACACGTCACACTGTATATTCACATCTCACAGGCTGGAAATGTTTGCGTTTGTTACTAATTCTCTTCACGTGTACCTGCCGACGGCTTTTACACTGTATGTATGCACAACTACCATCACAATTAAAGTTTGTGTGTTTGTGTGTGTGTGTGTGTGTGTAGTCTGCAGGACATCCCCTGGTAAAGAGTGCCAGGGCTGAGCTGGCAGTATGTGTGTGTATGTGTGTGGCCAGAGCGTGTGTGTGTGTGTGTGTGTGTGTGTGTGTGTGGAAGGGCCTGGCTCCTCGCTCCGGTTTCATGTTCCCCATTTGGCTGAAATACTACTACAACTGCATAGGCGCAGCACACACACATGCACACACACACACACACGCTGCCACTTTGTTAGTCTGTGTGTGCATATGTGTGTGTGTGTGTGTGTTGATAAGTGGAACACATATAGTAGTGTACGCACAGCTCCTTATGAGTGAGTCTAATCTTTTATTTTGGCATTGTGAGCGTCTTTCTTTCTCACTCCCACCTCTTCTTCCTCTCCTTCTTCTTCTCTTCTTCTCTACTCCACATCCTACTTCTCAGTGAATCAAAAGCTTGTTTAGCGCCAAATAAAGTGAATCCTCAAAGCAGGATAACATATGTAATTCTTATGATCTCCGGCAGCTCGCTCCTGATTTTTTTTTCAACGCGAACAACTCACTGCAGAGACGAAAAAAGCGAGGGCGCTGACGCTGTTGAAACAATTCTCTTAGAGGCAGACTTGAGCGTTCAGTGCGAGATCAGAAGGAAAACACGAGCAGCCAAAAACAAGATTAGAGTGATGATGTCACACATAGTAAAGACATAGTAAGAGCCCTTCCAGGAATTAACTATGTTTCTACAAATCTTCTATAGTAAATATCAAGGAATAAACGCTCCGGAGATAAAGCTTCGGGTCTGTTATAGATAACGAGTGCTGCTCTTATTAGAGGTTTCAGCCAATAAAAAGCCCAGAAACAGGCGAAGATGATTCCTTATTTCATACCTGATTAGTATCAGTCAATCATCTTTCATTTAAAAATAAATCATCTTCTTCTATTTAGCTTTTACATTTTTATTTCAATAAAGTTCAAGTTCAGACTCTTAACATTCTCTTATTACCTTTTGATTTCTTATGGTTTTTATATTTTATATATATTTATGTTGATATTATTGAGGAGGCAGTTCAGCCTGTGCTGAATGAGATCAAGACAAATTACCCAAAAAGAACAACAAAGGTTATCAAACAGTATCATACTGTATTATATCGTATTGATAATAAATTGCATCATTTTACATTATAGCGTTTCTGTTGTGTTAAATCATATTATGTCAAATGTAATGTATGACATTATATAGTATCATATCATGTTATACTGCATGTTGCATCATTTTATAGTGTTTCATAAAGTCCATCTTTTCAACTTCTACTGCATTGACCACTCTGGGTATCGTATCGTATCGTATCCAGGGGTTAAAGCAAAAAAAAAAAACAACATCCTGAGCCTGAAGTTTTTTCTTGTGAATGTGTGTGTACGCATTTGCGCTTGTGTGTGGTGTGGGGGGTTGTCGTCCTGTAGTCTTGACACATTCGCTGTTTAGAAAAAAAAAACATTATATGGAAATGAATGATTGCAGATTATGGTTGGCCTTTTAAAACTGCAATGATAAGAAAGGTCAGATGGTGGCAGTAGTGCTCCTCCTCACTACAGTACGGTACTAACACGTAGCATTCATGGTTACAAGTTTTGCTGCTAAGCGTGGTCCTTGATGGTTTACAAAGACAGATTGTGCTCTGTAATGAACATGCACGCGCGTATTTTCAAGTCGCACGCGCGGTCAGCCAGTAGCTGTAGTTGTTGCTCCCGGTAACTATGTTGTGGGTGGGAAAGCGCGAACAGTTGCTCTATGAGCGGGGTGTGACTCATGACGTCGTCGCACTTTTTTCAGCTAGTTGCATAAACTAGCTTTCTCGAGCACAAAGTGCAGAAGCAAACACCTGCTTCTCTTAACTTCTTTCACCAGCTGCTTAAAGGCTCAACATCTTTTTCTATCTCTTCTATCCACGCCCAGCGTAATTAATTTTTTAATCCTTTTATCAACAAGGAGGGCATTTTCCCCAGACTTTATGAATTTGGACAGTATAGGACAGAATTTTCCACTTTACTTTTGATTGGCTAGTTTGCGAACAGGAGAGTTGTGCTCCTTTCTGTCATCAGCAGAGCAACTCATAAACTCGAAAGTAACCGGTCCGCGGTACTTTAAGTCCTGTGTATGTATTGTATTGTATGGTATTGCATGGTATTGAAGGTGCTGCCTTTGGCCTCGGGTAGATCACATTTATCTCTGAAGATTTTGAGTGAAGCTTCAGGCAGATCCATGGATTGATTCTTGCCCTGGCCACTTAATTAATTTATGATTATGGATTAAATCAACAATACTGATAATTAAGGAAGAGTACAAGGTAACAAGGAAAATAGGCAGCAAAAGAATGCTCCTTATTTTTGTATTTTCACAAGTAGAGAAATGATATTAAACCCCTCAGACTGTCTCAGAGATGCAGTGCCACTTGCATTTGTCTCCTTCAGCAGGTGGAATACTTTGGATATTTGATTCAGGGCTGGGCGACACCAAAAGTTCCGTTTCCTATTTGATACTGTTATTTGCATTTGAACAATATCCAAACTGATACTGAAAAGTTGCATTGAAACTGAAAGCGGTCGTTTTTAAAATGGGTATGAGATTTTTCAGAGCACCAGTCATTTTCATAAGAGTTCAGTCAGAAATCTCATTGTATATTGAGTTTCTATTCCCAATGGCATCCTGCATCAAAAAAATGTCGAAATGACTCAGTATGGTAATGTTAAGAAATGCAGGTTAAACTGAGGCATCACTGAAGTTTTAATTATTTTTTGTTAGATATGACTTAACTCTGCTTGGTGTTTGAAGGGGAAGGAAGGAGGTCTTTTTATTTGTCTTCAGCAAACTTTGAGCTTTCAGGTTGTGCTGTTTTAAAATAGTTTTTTAAGTCATTTATAAGAAAGGACAACAGCAGAGAGATGAGAAATGGGGGCTAAAGAACTGTAAACAACTTGCACTGAAGGATCAAAGCTGAGATCTGAATCAGAGTCCGCTGGGACGAGGACTTTGACCCCTATTTGTGGGGTGCAAACTTCACCTAGCAGGCCAAACTGACTCTCAGAGGGGTGTTGTTTCTAAATGTTGACAGACACTGCTCTGTCTTGTTACTAATAGTGCATCCTTGTTTGCAGTTTTCTGACAATGTTGATGAACGGCTCCCTGATCTCACATTACTTTATCAGCTTAACAAGAAGAGATGTTCTGGTACAAAAATTTTACAGATTTAGTGGTTTAAGAAAAAAAAAAACCTACAATTAAAAAAAAAAAAAGTACATTTTTCTTTCAATTTCTTTCAATTTCATTATTCATGTTTTTAGATAAATAAGCTTGTAAGCTCAGCCTATCCTTGAGAAACTGCTGCTTAAAACCACTCTTTGACTACTTTTTGACTCTGTCTTTCGGCCTAGTTCCTCTCTTATGTATGGTTGACCACCAATATGTTACCAGATTGATGTCGGTGAAGTTAGTTTTATTAATCCTGCACCAGGTCCCTCAAAATTTCTCAATGTTGGGATGGTTTGCAGTCTTTACAAAGACAATTTTGGTTGCGTGTAAACCTAAAGCTTTCTCTTTGTCGATCCTAAGATGTCGAGGAACACACCATTTAATAATGCTTAAAAAAAAACCCACATACACACACTCACACAACATTTATAAGGAACTCCCCCATCGCCACCAGCAGCAGCCGCACCGACTTTTCCTGATAATTTGCGGAGGCTCATTTGAATTTTAAGCGCTACTTTAATCTTCAAAGCTCAAATAGCTTTATGAATATGCATGCAGTGGGCAGACTTTAGTTCATTACCTAGTTGTAAATTCTAATGACCATTAGGTCCTCACAGTAATTGCCAATTGTTTTGCATTTTTGATTGGCCTATTACCATGCGCATTCGCGGCGCACATCAGCTACGCTTGTCAGAGCCGGCGTGTCAAGGGGTGTTTGTGTGTGTATTTGTGTGTGTGTGTGTTTTCTCATTTGTGCCTTGGGTGGGAGATTTGTGTGTGTGTGTGTGCGTGTGTGTGTGCGAGGATGTTTTTTAGGCTAATATAAATGAAAGTTGCATTTTTTTTTTAATTGTTGGAAGATTGAGAGCCGAGCCAGAGATTGGACATATTTAATTTACATGATGTCTCGTCTGTTCGCTCATTACACTGCTCGTCTCTCACAAACACACACACACATGCACACAAAATACACCCAATGCAAACCATCTGGCCCTCTCCTGTACGTGTCCATCTTGACATGGTAAAATGATTTCTCAATGCTCATCTCTCCATCTCTGTCAGCCTATTCATTTTTTAGAGTCACCCCCCCTTTCAGTTTCTCCTTGAACAAACAGATGTCAGATACCTCGCTCTTTTCTCCCTCCCCGGCTCTATCTAAGGCTGCCATTTTGGAGACAGTGATTCGTCTTCCTAAGTGAGTTTCTCTGTAAACATGAACCAAAACTCCTCTGAAAAAAAGACGAGAAAAAAAAAAACGGAGAAAAAGACTCCTATTGTTCTGTCTTCAGCAGGAAAAACATCTCTTTCTCTGTGCATACACACAAGAAAATAAGCACCTGTGCGTAAACACCCACAAATACACACCTTATCCTTCCTTTGTACTCAAAAAGAGTCCTCTTCTGAAAGTCTTTTTTTTTTGTCAGAGGAAGAAAAGAAGAAAAAATCTATATAATAGATCAATTTTCATCTAATAATCAAGCTGGACAATTAAGAAAATGAGAACAAAAGCAACAACAACAAACAAGAGGAGCTGGTGCATGGGCGCTAATCTTTATTTTTCTCCTCTTCTTCTTCCCTTTGTTGCTTTCTCCCCTTTTTTTTTTACCCTCCCCTGAAAAACACACACACACACACACACACACACACACTCTTCCTTTTCTCTCACGCCGTTCCAGTTTGTGTACAAGTGCTGTGAGGGAGATATGTGAACCTACATAGCGATGAAAAGGAATTCTTAATTGCCCAGAAATGAGCAATGTTACAAACGGCAGTGTAATGGACGCAGCCGAGGGGAAGGATGTGTGTGTGTGTGTGTGTGTGTGTGTGTGTGTTTGGAGGGGTTGTCTCCAGTGGGACTTGCGAGGCCTGTTTCCTGAGGTCTCTTTTAGCCCCCCTACAAATACTCTCTCTCTTTCTTTCACGCACACACACACACACACACACCCTCTCACACACACCCTGTATACCTCTGGCTGCTGTTCCTCACTTCAAAGTTGTTAATATTCAGCTGGGAAACTGTATCCAGAGCACAGCTAAATTATTAAGCGTATGAACTTTTTAGGCAGTAAGATGAACTGATGGGCCACATCTATGAGATGCTCCTCTTCTTCACGTGTGTGTGTGCGCATGTGCGTTTATGTGTGTGTGTGTTCATGCCCTCTCCTCCTGCCCCATGCTTGGTCTTTGGCCAAGGGCATGCATAATTGATCCCGTGCCCGCTATCATTTTCTTGATGTAATTGCCCCGGTAAGATATGATGAAATCTAATGGATAATTTATCCCGTAAAACGGATAAAGAAGCTGCTAAAATGTACTTTGTAGGCATTTCTGTCTGGGCGTGTGCATGTGCATTTAGTCAAACACTAATATTTCAGCAGCGTGTGGTCAATGTGGAGAGAAACTGTAAGTGATATCCGTCCTGAGGGGTACAAACTGGAACATGTCGACATTTTTCAGATTGTTTTTGTAGGTTAACTCACCAGAACTGCAACTTTGACAGTTGTTGTTGTTATGTGGTTGAATTATTCATATTTAAGAAAGTATTCTTCTGTAATCACCGAAGAAAGATTAAACTACATCTACTGGATAATCTGTATCCCCAAAAATTTAATTTGTAGTAAGAATTTTCTCTTTAGGACTCTTAGGTGTCGCTTTGTGTTTAATATTTCAGTGGTAGGTGGTCAATGTGGAAGAAAACTATCAATGATATTTTATCTGAAATGATAAACTCACAGTTTGAAACGCTTTTATAAAACAGCTGAATAACTTCTTTTACTCCATGTGCTGAAAAGATATAGAAATTTCTTTCCAAGAAACATAAAAGGAAACTAGTGCCGTTGAGTGGATAGTGAATGGCTTGTCTACTTGTTATTAATTCCTGGCAAGAAAAAAAAAAGCAAGAAAACCAGCTTTTCATCTTGAAATTGTAACACTGAAATCTAATCATATTTAAGATTTTACAAAGTTGTGAGAAATGGAAGGTTTCTTTCTGTAATCGTCTAAGAAAGGTAATATACACGTTTATATTTTGTATCATTATCTTTGTAGGACTCGTTTGGATAAATGTGTTGATGAAATGTTATCGATCAAATCGCTTTAATTCTCTTTGAAATGCAGTGTGTGGTCAATATGGAGAAAAACCACAACTGATATCCTACCTCAGAGGTTAAATGATAAAATGTTGCCATATTTTTGGATGTTTTTACAGGTAAACTCACTAAAACTGCCAAGCTTGACATGATTCATTATGATGCAGCTGAATAATTGATATTGCAGCATGTGCAAAAAGCTCCAAATGATGTGATTTAAACAAACCCCTGATGCACTGAAGGAGAAAGTCAATGATTCGTCTTCTGTTCGACTGGGTCTTAAAGTTATAGTTGAAGGATTGGGAAGAGCGTCCAGAGAAGCTCCACGCTGGTCATAGAGTCGATTCCTGGTCATAATGTGATATGGTGCCAACAATTCCCACTCTTGATTCTCACATTTCGTGTTTCTCCCAGGCTGCCCTTTCAAAATAAAGGAGGAAAAGCCCTACAAATTAAATAAGAAACAGAAAAAGGATGCACAAAATTCATCGGTTTTGGTTTGGTTATACAAACTGTAGTCTGAACATACAAGGGTTCATGAAATTGAATGAAAAATGTTCAGCCTTGTGGCTAATTCGTCTCCAAAAAAACCCTTAAACAAGTTGTGCAAACACACTTTGTTGGACCTTCTCTGTCTTGTGTGTACATCTGTACAAAAGCATGTCAGCTATGTGTGATAAAAAGAAGGTGGCTGATTTAGTGTGCAGAAAAACTCCGAACAGGTATGACAACCTGACAATAGAGTTTAAAGGGAACATACGTAAATAAAGAAGATGAAATGATTTGTCTTCAGTCTGAGGAGGAAGATTGAGTTTAGAGTCTGCAAAGTTCAAAACCCATCTGTGTATTTTGGCATTAAAGCTTCAAGAGTCTTTATAGACGGTCACATTTCTCCAACTCAAGGTGTAATCAGACAACAATAAAACAGGAGCTTTAATCTTCAATCTAAACATAACATGATATTTAACACCAGCTTCATCTCACCTTTTCAAGAATGTTTTAACCCCAAAACACACACACAAAAAAAAAAACACAGGTTCAGAAAATAGACATCTTGTTATCCTGTTAAATAAATACTGAAGTGTGAAAGAGACTGTAATTCCTTGAACTCTTGACCCCAAATAAAAAAAAGCCAGGGAGGAAAGCTGGTCTTTGTGTGAGTGTGTGTGTGTGAGTGTGTGTGTTCTAACACCTTCACCTGCACTTTATGAATTTCCTCCATTTCTCTCTCTCTCTGTCTGTCTGCCTGCCTCCTCCTCTTTCTTTGTCGATCTCTCTTTTTCTTCCCTCTCCTGTGCTGCTGCAGTTTTCCGTTGGAGGACAGATGTGTTTCAACACGCTCTGGACTGTAGTTAACACTGCTGATCTCTCTCTGTCACACACACGCTCTTTCTCTCTCTCTCACACACACACACACTCTTTCTACCTGCGTTAATTTAATGGAACCTAACCCGTCTGTTGGCCTTTGTTTGATTTCTCCTCCTTTAAGTTTCCAACTTGTTGAAAAGCGCCCGTTCAAAGGTTCTCTCTTAAGAATGTGTGTTTGGTGCATGTCACACACACCGAGCTGCATCTGCTGACAGATAGACAGTCAGTCAGACAAAGGCTCTCACACACACACACAAACACACACACACACACACATGCACAAACACTAACACACGCACACACACACACACTGTTTATCTTGCTGCAGAAGGGAAAATGCGGGCACCAGTCTGCAGAGCTGGGAGAGGTGGGCTGGGACGACAAAGGGAGACGAGGAGGAGAGGGCATGGGGGCAGAGCGCCCTCGGGGGGGTTAGGGGATGTGAGAGACAGAGAGAAAGAGAGAGAGAGGGTGGAGTGAGGTAGAAAAGGCTGGGTCCTGGTGGTGGCTGTCCATTAACAGATGAACTTGGCCGACGTCCAACTGTTTGATGAGACGGGTGTCAGAGGGCTCTGTGTGTGCGTTTGCGTGCGTGCGAGTGTGTGTGGATTGGTGGTGTGGTGTGGGGGCTACACACCCACTCACACACATGATTACACACATCTTATCTCTCCCGGCTTTGGCTCTGCATATTAACCCACTCTTAGCGTTTAGCGTTAGCTCTCACTTATACCTTTGTCAACCTGCGTGAGCATCACTGCAAACTTGATAAACAACACAGCTTTGTCATCGCCATTTGCTTCAGTCTTTTTAAAGGGTTGCTTTAACAAACACGTAATCTGAAAATATCTGAGCTTTTATTAATTAAACTAAACAATAATGCCTTTACTCTGCATTTTTTTGGTGTGTATAGTGGTCACAAAGCTTCCTCCCTGCTGAGTCATGACTCACTGAGGATTGGTATCATTAAGATACTGTTGATACTGATAGTGATAAACAAACTGCCTATCTCTATGGATGCTTAACTTTTAATTACTATGCGGAAAAAAAAAAAAAAAGACAGGACGTGAAAGAGAGATGAGAAATGTTAACATTTTGTTCTGATTGTAGCCTCTCTGCTGGGCACAAAATCATTGCAGTTCCAGACTGGTGTGAGAATGTGGTATTCACACATAGGTATGCTGCAGATACACAGAGGAACACCTGTGATATTACGCTCTGGGGCCATGACTTGAGAAGCTTGAGAGCCTCAGTACGAGACTGTAGACCTGGAGACAGCTGTATTGGAGGGGTATCTCAGGCCAGATGATCTCTTACAAATGAACATGTACTGTATGTTTGATACAAGGTCATCTTTTCATTACATCTAAGCTCAGGGTTTTATCACATCTGGTGTGCTCGATGCTTTTTCCTCTCACTGTAAGTATTCTCAAAAAAAAAAATTAACAGAAATTCTGTTTGATTTAACATGAAATGATCATTGTCTGTGTAACCAGAGTTGCAAAATAAATCAAACTGAATGTAGAAAAAACACACAAAAGGCCTAACTTACTTCATCAGAGTGGGGAATGACAGCATGGCATATTGTGGAGGCCTAATGTAGTTACTATCTTAGTGTTTTAGTCTCTAGATCACCAGAAAATGATCCCATTTTAACCAGGAAACAAGTTTTTGTTACCTTGAGATTACAAGAAAAATGAACTGAGAGCTTAACAACTGAAATCAAGTCATTATTTCAGGAAAATTTTGGCTGAAAAGCGCATAGATTCCCGCTTATAGGGGCCCTGTACAAAGTATAAGTGAGGGAGTGTTGCTGCAATACCATTCCTCAATGTTCAACATCTGAAGAACCAAATCAACATGTTTAGATTAAAGAAGAGAGATTATTATCCATTTGATTTGCATAAATGTAAAATGTCATAATCTGTGTTATCATTATTTTTATCATCCCAATAAGGAAGTCAAAAAGCCTTTTGGTTTCATTCCAGAGTCCTACCCAGGCCTCCTGTTTGTTGAACCCCTCTTTCTCACCATCCCAAGCGTCCTCTCTGTGCCTGGAAACAAACACTCAGAGAGGATGCTACCTCCATCATCATGTTTTAAAGTGTTAGGTCTCTGACCAAGCTGCAGTATTTATTTGGAGTGTGAAAGTGTTGGCATACACACCTCTCCCTCTCTCTATCTCCGACACACACATAGTTCAACAGGACCAGTTCAGACCGGTTTGCTGGCATGGAAACTCGGCTGTGGAGGGTTAAAGAAAGAAAGTAGAAAAATGAAAAAAAAGACTACAAAAAAGTACAAACACACAGAAACTAAATAAAAAAATTACAGCAGATTTCCACTAATGCCCCTGACCTGCTGAGCCCTCCACTTCAAGAGGCAGAGAGGCGCGCACAAAGGGAAAGACAGACAGACAAGGCAGAGAGAAAGCAGGAGGAAGTGAAATATACATATTTTTAACCTTTGTGGAGCTGCTGCTTGTGTAACTGAGTGTGAGTTGACAGTGCAGGAGCACATTTATATTTACAGCAACAGCCAGGGTCAGGAGGTGCAGCAAGAAGGAGGGAGGGTTACACACTTTCTGTAAATTTACACTGCCGAGCTGCTGCTGCTGCTGCCGAGCAGGTTCAGTGGGTTTGATGCCTTGCTTAAGGGCACTTGCGTGTCGGTCTGGTGGTAGCAGAGTGGGAAAGTGGGAACAGTTGAGTTTCGACTTTGTAGTTCCACCTGTCATGACACTTTTGATTGATGGCATTGGTGTCTTGCTTACTGCTATTCTGAAACAAGTTTTTCTCTTTTTTTTGTCGTGCTCTACTTTCTGCTTCACTTCCTGCTTTTACAGCAAGTGTTATATGATGATAGTTTTTAAATCCTGCTTTTACAAGTTTTGCTTGTAAAAAAAAAAAAAAACAAAGACCGTCTGGAGGATAGACTTTGGCAAAGCAATAAACTTACTGTACTTAACCTTGGCCGACTGTTTCTGCCCATATGATAAAGCATGTGCTCCCCATCTCTATCATGTTTAGTGTACAGGACACACTGTCCTGTAGGACACACTGTCCTGTACGCTAAAGATCATGGATCAAAGGTTACACATGGGGAGTGAGACTAGAAACATACTGGAAATGAGCCACTAAGTCTACAGTTACCAAAAGGAGCTTATACACGTATACATTTACACCTTCAGGAGAAGACAGCAAGAATCGAGACGTTTTATTAGAAAAGGCTTTCGCTTTATTGACTGATAAATGTCTCTTTGTTGATTGGAAACAGAAATGTATAAGTCAGCATTTTCTCTGGCATGTAATGCAGAAAAAGATACATCCTGAAAGGGACGGTGTTGAATTTCTGCTGATCTAAGCATGCAGAAAGCCTGAGAAATTCAAATGTATGAATGCAAAGTAAAACGAGAATTTGAATAATAAATCTAAACGTCAAGTGCAAGCCTTAACTGTTGCTTGTGATGATGTATTTTCATGTTGTTGAACTGTACTGACACCAGTGTTTTTGTTGTGTTCGGCTCTTGATGGCTGTGAATGTCACAGGTGGCCCTATAACTTTGTGCAGTCTTGTATAAAGTTGAAAAGAGGCCGTGTCCTGGTATTCCAGGGGGATGAATTGAACTCTGGACTGACTGTGTCCCTGTGTGTCTTTGCACATATTTGTGCATAATATTTTCTGTACTGGGCAGCAGCCTCCATAGTGAACCTTGTGGACACAGTAAACATGAATCAGAGATTTCAAAAGAGCTTCATGATAAAGGCAGGAAGTTTTTATAGACTTCTCCTCCTAGTGTGAGTTCAGTCAACAGAATTTTTTGCTGGGCTGTTTTTCTCTGCGTGGTTATCTCTTTTACCATGGGTCAGTGGGTGGATACTCTATGTACAGTATGTGAGAGTGTGTGTGCCATATGATAGGACAGGTGGTATGTGGACTTTATGTTTGCAGTGTACAGCACATGCAATGTGAACTGTGAACTGGACACCGCGACCTACACCTCTGAGTACAGAGTGAAACACATGCAGCAAACATGGAACAGTCACCTATATAACGGCTCATACTGGCCGTCCAATTAAAAAGAGACAGAGTCATGATATTTCTGTCAGATTTAAACACAAGATGCATGTTATTTGTCTGATTTGCATACAGCTGAGCAAGCAGTAAACACACCAGTCAAAGGACATCTGGTATTAACACCTTATAGGGTTCAGTGGCTGACAGGATTGCAGAGCTTTCTATGGTTGTTTGATAATGCCTAGTGTATTAATCTCTTTCCTCTTTACCCGAAAAAAACCTCCTAAGGAATATATGCTTTGCCTCTACATTTACCAGACAGTTACTCATCCTGTGTTTGGCTAGACGGGACCGCACCATTGAGAGAGTGTAAGCGTGCTGGAAGGGATGCGGTTGAGGTGTGGCCCCGCTACTGAAACTCTGCTTCATAGCACCTCTGGTTGTTTATTTCAGATCTGATTTAACTAAAATGATTCATCTGAAAAGCAAGAGAAGCAAATAGTTTCCCTTAGAAAAGTCACTCAGAGCCAAACCAGTAAGTTTGCCATCAGAGAAAAACAAAATGTTACCATGACATTAAAAAATAAGTTCTTAAAACTATATGTTAACATGTTCGTACAGCTGAAACCTCACTGAAGTGGATGTCTCTAAGTAGAGACGAACGTTCTTGGATTTTCTCTTGCATGTAAATGTCTTCATAGGTTCAGACCTAGTCTGTGTTCAGCCCAGGCTTCACAGTTTGCTCACCAGGCCTATACTAAAAGTTGAAAAGTATAAATACGTCAAGACATACTGTGCATTTCATTTGTATCACGAGTCAAGAGTACATATTAGAGACAGAGCGATTAAACAGCTGAAAGTATGCTTTCTTTGTACTGTGTCTAAAATAAGAATAATTATAAAAACAAACTTGTTTGCGGCGGCAGATCTTTTTTAAAACTGTACTCATAAATGTGAAATTTCACACAGTGTTCCCCCCCCCCAGAACGGGGACTTTTTTAGTGGTTCAAAGTGTCCAATAAATAAATGTAGGCCCTCTACTGGGTGTGAGGAGGGAATTTTTTTAAGTTCTTTGACCGCATGAACTTTCAGAGCACTAGAGGCGATGGAAGTGTGACTTAAGATTTGCCTTCAGACTCTGGATAAGGATATTTGCATCAAGGTTTGCCAAAGCAAAACTCATATATATATTAAGATTGAGAAGATTACATGTATCACTGGTTAAGATCCCTGACCACTGCTGCAAAACCTGCACCCATAATTATAACCGTCGCACACATGCAGCCCCTGAGGCCTGTCAGTGGTGTAACTTACTGTTCCTACCTTTGGCCATATCTCTCCTCAGCCCCCCCCTCCTGCAGGCTGTTTGTGGCAGCATTTGCTGCATTAAAAATGAGAGCTGCTTGGCTCGGAGCTACCATATCGGCTACCTTCTTTTCTCCCTGCGCTCTAATCTTGTGTAAACACAGAAATCAGCTCCCAGCTCGCTCTGGCAGATGCAGGCCAGCAGTGATGTCCCACTGCGATACATCCCTCTAAAGCCCGGATTAAAAGTTTGCAGGCACAGGGCGTTTTAGGGGAGGGGAGTTTATGTAGGAGTAGAGGAGAGGGGGCAGCTGTCATCTCTTGTGTATTTATACCTGAGAAAACAGAAAGAGAGATTGAACTAAGTCTGTTGTCTGTTAGAATCCAGATGGTTTGAATGGATGTGGTCAGACTTTGCAAAAACAAAGCAATAATTGTTCAGGAGGAACAAATGTTGGCAATGCACCAAGCTGAAGAAGAAATGAGAGTCTATTTTTGCCTTAATAGGAAGGTAAAAGTGCTTTAAAGTATTTTTCCAAAACTCAAGAAGAAGAAGAAGAAGAAGAGAAAAGTGAGAGAGGGAGACAGGCCTCCTGAAAGAGAGACAAAGATAAAGTGGAATAAAGAGATGGAAAGAAAAAGATATCTACACTGCGCTGAAAGAGGAACAGTGTGATGTGACCCATGTCCAGCTCCGTGTACGCATAAAAGCATCTGTCTTCAAAGACATATTTTATGTATGTGTTTGTGTGTGTGAGTGTGAGTGTGTGTGTCTATCTGCGTCTGTCGCTGTCTGTGTGTATCTGTGTCTGTGAATGATCTATGGTTTGTGTTTACCGTGCCATATTTCGGCCTGGCCTGCCGTCACCGACGTATGAATGATAAATTGCGGATGTCCATCGGATTCACCCGAGCACCTGTGGTCCCTCGCTCCCCCGGCCGTGTGGCAGGAGAGCAGAAATAATAAATAAATAAGCAAAGTAAGAGATAAACACAAAGGCCTCTGAGGGATGGGACCTTTTTTTCCCCTCTTCAGACACAGACTTTTTCTTACTCCTGTTTCTGCCTGTGTTAAATTTCATCTGATGTGGTCACTTTAATCCATCTCTGACCTCTTTGACCAAACATTTCCTAAACTAATAAAGCTTCTTTCTTCATCAGCTCTACTTTGAGAAGTTTTTGCATCGTGACGCTAGAGTAGAAGTGATAAAAAGTTGCTCTAAACCACTCATTAATCTGCTGGTTGTTTTTATCCACTTTTTCCTCTCTTTCTCCTTCTCTTTCCATCTCGCCTGCCCCCTTCACTCCTGATAATCTCTCACCCTAATCACAGGGGAAAGCCCTTGGACACTTACTCATCAGTTTATCTGCTAACTGCTGTTATCAGGTTGTTTAACTGTAGACAGGAGATATATCTGCTTCTTTGTGGAGCAGCAGGTTATTGTCAGACAGGTGGATGGATATTATATAGACACTCGCTGAGATAAGGTAATCACTACCAGGAACAAAGGTTTCATAATCAAGGAGAGTCTTGTTTTAGAAGCAGGGAAAGAGTGTGTTATAGGTGTACTTGTTATATTTTAACTGGGGTGTGCGCCTTTAAATTAAGCTGTTTTCACATGTGCTCACATAAAAATTTCCAGACAATTTCAGGACAGCTTGCCTGGTAATTTTGCCTTTTTACACGTCTGTTGACAAGATATCCAAGATGGCGAGTCTGACGCTATAACGACAGCGTTTGCATTTGTGTATTTGTCGACTACATCAAAAACAGCAGAGAAGAGTCTGAGGCTGCTTCATTGTGTTTGTGAACAAAAAAAAGCATGCGCTGTCTTGTTTTGTATGAAGCAAAATCAAGTTTGTGAAATGCTAACACTAAACTTGAACAAAATGTTTGTATGTATTGTGAATGTGCCAAGATGGTGGGCTTTCGGTTTACATCCACACAACTCTATTAGGTGTAAGTGAGTGTTAACTAGGAAACTTCAATGTACTTCATCACAACGTCGAATAAGACCTTCATTAAGATGTGACTCCTCTTAACCTAACCCCATCTACAAATTTCTGCTTTCACTTTGTACAACACAGGAGTTGTTGGTCTACCTCTGCCTCAATCTGTGTGTGTTTTGAGTATTTTTAATGCTCTGTGTACATCCAACAGAATATGATATACAGTTACAGAAAAGACTAACTGAGTGAGGCAGAGGTACACTGCAGCTCCTGGAGTGTGGGAGATTAAAAAACGTGATTTTTTTTAATGGAGTTTGGTGGCATCCACTTTCTCATTTACACAAAGCAGCTTGCTGTTTTACTTTCAGGCTCGTGGATGCATAGATAATTTTTTTGCCCAGTAATCTGTGTTAATTTCATGTGTTGGATATGTATACGAGCTGATTCAGATCATAATATGAGTGTGACTATGAGCAGATGAGGAGGGTCACACTCTTGATTAATCTCTGATGGAGAGATCTAAATCGTCTGCACATAAGCACACCTTTCTCTTCTCACGCTCCTCTGTACATCCACCTCCCTCCCTGCTATGACGGCATGTTTGTGTTTGATTTTAAACAAAGTATCTGCAGACTCCGATGTCTGCGTTATGTTTTGCAGAAATAACTTGTCAGCTCTGTCTTTGCCCTCGTGACACGTCCAGCCCTCTCGCTCTGCATCCGTGTCTGTGTGTTTTCTTGTCTGTCGTCGCACATGGCTGCACTCTGTTGACCACAGAAGCCTTCAGAGCATCACAACCCATCCTCCTCCTCCTCCTTCTGTTTCTCCTCCTCCACTTTTTGGTTTCTGTCTCAATTTCTCCTTGTTGTTTCTCCTTTCAGTCTCTCTCCCCCCCGTTTTCTCCCCCTCTCTCTTTGCTGTGTTTGTGTTTTCTCGGCCTGCTTGTCTCAGTAACAGTAAATACCCTTGCTACCTGACACAGATCCACCTTTCTACTTGACCGCGCACACAGAGGAGGGCAGCTGTGTGTGTGTGTGTGTGTGTGTGTGTGTGCATGCGAGTGAAATAGTGTAGTCTCCAGTGACCCTCTGCCCTCTGGTTTAAAGGACTGAGTGAACACACACACGGGAACCCGCTCACACACACTTTCCCCCAAGCAACCCCCTTCTCTGAGATAAAACACAGGTTTAATCTTTGACACTGTGTCCAAACTGGCCTCTTTGCAGGTGAGGAGAGCCTCCTGGGGAGAGTGTGTGTGCCTGTATGTGTGTGAAACTGTTAGTTTCGGCCTGACCTAAATGTGGAGGACAATAGCCTGGAGGCTGTGTGTGTGTGTGTGTGTGTGTGTGTGTGTGTGTGTGTGTGTGTGTTTGTGTGTGTATACAGTATGTGGTGTCTTCTTTACTGCCTCTGTGTGTTGGTGTGTTCCTGTTTTTCAGTCTGCCTCCACACTCTCAGCCACGATCTTTTCCTAAGTCGTGACGCAACTGTGTCACATATTGACTTTTAATTGGACTCTTTATAAAGAAGATGGTGTGAGATAAACACACCCGTTACCCTGCCGTGAGAGAAAGAAACAGGTTGGCAACTACTTTAAGGGATATCTAGTTTTGCAGAAAGATGGATTTTATTTGAGACATCTTCCCTCTTTTCGATAAAATAGCGCTTTATGGCATAAGAATGTATATATATATATATATTTAAACAAATGTCACTAATGTCCTCCTCCTCTGGTCAAACACAGAGCACACTGTCAACACTTCTCATTGAGGCTGTCGTCTGCAGGAAGTACTCCAATTAAAAAACGTTCTCTCTCTCTGTTGTATTCACAAGTAACGCGTTTCTAGAAAGACAATTCCTGCCAATGTACTATTTTTTTTTTACTCTGTACACACCACAAAAGACATCTGATGTACTTCCATAGAACTGCAGCGCAGACAGGAATAGATATCCCAGAATATGGTTAAGTAAAACCACAACTAACTGCTCGGTTTGATTTCTATAGAGATAAGTGAGGAAGATGGGTTTTGGGGTGAAGTGAGCCTCTGAAGAGCTGTGAAACTCCTTTACAGAGAACTTTTATTAGTAAGGAGAGTTTTATTGCTCGAGACTAGCACTTTATAATGCAATATAATCCATATTCTTTACATGGTGGTGTTTAAGTATGCATTTGGTGGCAGGAGCCCATCTTGGGTAGGAATCTGCAAGTCACTGGTTAAAACCCTGTAACAGACTGAGTTTGGTTACTGGGCTGGAGAGATCCCAGTTTACCTCCTACACACTGCTCCAGTGTACTTCAGCAAGGACCAAACCACCAAATGCTCAGGCTACTCTATCATGGGTATCCCCCTTTACGGTTTATGTATGTTTGAGTTAATTTCGGCCTATGTGCATGTTTCACTGGATTGTAAAAACTGAATTACTCACAAGAGGATGAATAAAATTAGGGTGACCATACGTCCTCTTTTACCTGGACATGTCCTCTTTTTGGGGGCTGTCCGGGCGTTCTGGGCTTGCCCGGCTTTGTCTGGGGAAGTTTATAGAATCCTTCAAATGTGTGCGGTTTGGTACGCAAGTTTCTATTTTGTGTCACGTGGGCTTACTGAGTGAGAAGCGTGTAAAAGACACTCAATCCGACCCGAAAAACTCTCAAATTAACTTTGTGCAACTCCGTGATGCCGCCCCCGCATAGTCGTATCCTCTTTTTAGGAAGTCAGAATATGGTCACCCTAAATAAAATACTGTCAAATTTAGGGCAGGAGATGCACTTTTTTCTACTTTTACCTTTAACGTCATCGAAAAAGTGATTGTCCTGTGAACCAAAATCTTTCATTCTAATTTAGACCGAATTGAACCATAAATGCCGCCATAAGCTGAGCTCAACTACTTTACAAGCTGATAGAGTGGCAATAATAGATGGTACAACATAAAAGAGTTACACATCTGCATGGAAACAGCACATTGCTGAAATCTTTGAGCAGGAACACCATCTTTACGCTGCATCGTAACAGGATCTTTTAAGGTTTCCTGCAGTCCTGGATTCTAGTATTTGATCACAGTACAACAGCAGCACCCTGGAAAATGTGTAACCTCCTTTTATTGAGTATGCCTTATTTCTTCCTTCAACAGTGCATAAAATCAAGAGAATTAAGCCTTTTGCCAAGCAATTTGCATAATTTCATATTTGTGGTGTATATCTGAACGCCTGTGATCACCAGGAGATATGATAATGCTTCAGTGAAATGTTTAGGCCATGTTTGGTTATATTTTATTGCGTCGTTTTCATAGCGCACAGACGCCAAGGTCTGTGTGATGTGCATGGGTGCTTTTCAATAAAATTACTCCGAATAACTTTACATAAGCACCAAATAAAGTTAGTTTCATTTTCAGTTCTGTTTACACGCTCACTGTCTCGCGCTCGCCCACACAGTTCACTCTCCCTGCCTCTGTCTGTCCAGTTCTGTCTTTTTCTCTCGCTGTTTCCAGACCATTATCATACTAATTCAATTATTATCTCTTCATGTAGAGATTATGTATGCCGGGCAGAGTTTGACCTGTGTGCTGTAGGTTTAAAAAGAGGATAACCTTGTTCAGACTGCATGCAAAGCTGGTTCAACATGCATCACAGGGAGAGTCAGACAGGGACAAAGAGACAGGATTCAAGACTAATATTTCCAAATAAAATCACGTCCCCTTTTGACCATTCTTATCAGCCGAGTGATGGCTGTATTCAGATGTAAAAAACATACAAAAGGATGGGGATAATGTGGGCTAAAACGTTGGTGTCTCACTACCTAAGTTACATTTAAAACTTCTCACTTGATAAGATCATTTGTTGGACTGTCAGAAGCCGGAGCAGACCGGTTCCACCCCAGAAAATCAGTCCTGCCGGCCGAATCTTTGCTGTAATAGATGCTCAGAGATTGTGTTTTGTGCCCCTGGCTTGTTAAAAAAAATCTCTGAATTCTTGTGTTTGTGGCTGCGCTCTGTGATGATGAGGATGTTTCAAATGGAGATATTGACCTTTTAGGAATATTTACCATGTAATGCAATTATACCACTAATGGATTTGGCCCACTGATCTTTTTATGCACTGTGTCAGCGGGCCAGTAAAACATTGCTGGCTTTATTGCAATACAGACACACACACACAGAGAAGCACACACACCATGCAGACCAGTTTGGCCCTGTGCTCATTTGCGTGTGTATGTTCAACATCTATAATCCTCCCTCCCTTGTGCAATCACACACACAGGCTCAAACGCACATGCATGCGTCCACACAGACATACACACACACAGTCACTCACACACACACATGCACGCCAGACCCCTCATGAGTGTGTGTCTGCCAAGTCGGACGGCAGGCTGCCAGAAAAAAAGGGGGCTGTGATTGGGGTGAGGGCTCATCTGCTGGTGTTAGCCAGCTATAGCCACACACACTGACACACAAAAACACACACACAAATACTGACCCAGCGCCCACTAAGATTAACAAGGTTAATTAACTCAACATGGCCCCCAACCCTGGCTACAGTAGAGGGCCGCCGGTCTCAGGCCGAGGTTACAACAGTGCTAGCTGTTAGCGTGTTGAATACTAATGTTTTTAGCCAGTGGGGTCAGATTGGTGTTGAACTAAAGTCTGGTGCTAATGAGCTACATTAGAAAGACGCTGTATAATGTAAGTACAGTCAGAGCTCAGACTGACAGGCCAGTTGTATGTCTTATTTTAGCTTTTCACAGATTCATCAGAACTGGCACAGACTCTGCAGTTTAGCCTCAAAAATACTGCAGGACAGAAATTCATCCAGTGACAATGAAAAGTGGGGAATTAAAATGTTGCACTTGAAAATCAGAGAGGTGTTTACATACAGAAGAAAATAGTGTTCATGCTTTTAATTCTGTACATAGACTTTTTCATCCATCCACAACCATCTAAAGATGATTGTTTTACAACTGCACCAGAGTATTGGGCGTCAGGTTGAATAAAAGCTAAAGTTTGTATGGGCTTGGTTACAACATGAATATTTGCATTGGATTTTTACACCATGTTAAAAAAGGTAAGGGCAGGACAAAATCAATTCTATGGTTTTGCAGGATAGGGATTGTAGGGGCATATTTAAAATCTTTTATTTTACTTAATTTTATCTGCAGTTCATTTTGTATTGATAGGAAAATACTTACTGGATTCAAAATTCTCACTGCCCTTCAGAGTCTAAGTCAAGCCATAAACCCAAGTGCTAAAAAACTGCTGTTCCCACACTGTCCACATGAGGCTGACCCCAGAAGTGAAGAAAACCCCAGTAACCCAATTTAAACGGTCCTTTTTGTACGTCAGAATTAAACCTGTTTACAGCCTGGAACAAAAACGGTTCCGGTCTAAAAAACTCATTCTTGTTCGTAAACACTATTAAGGGGTAGTATTTTTTTGTATTTTTATCACTTTGAAGGTATTGAGACTATGACTGTGTCCAAAATGGATCCCTAACCCCTATATAGGTGACTGTATGGGGGTTAGTGCCATTTTGAGGGGTGTCCGAAACCTGAGTGATCAATTCCAATGCCCCATATAGGTGACTCAAAATTTCCCATAAAGCATTGCAAAATGACGTGACCATCCGATGGTCACTCACTGGTGGTGGGCATCCCGTCATGCATTGCGTCTTGCCATGTAGTGTCCGAAACCTCCAGTGACTGAGCTCACGACATAGTCATCTATCTAGTGAAACCCCATATGGGGGTTAGGGGTTAGGGATTGAGTGATTCATTTTGGACACAGCACAAGACTATGTAGATGTGGTGTAGATCTTTGGTAGGAGGCCTGAGGTTGCCCCCACCTCTGTCTCTCTGCTTGTTTCTAGGTTGACCAAAATTGAGGTTGAGTCAGCGTTTCCAGTATGGCAAACGCCGCCTTTTGGCTTAAAAAGACTTCTTCAGAAACCAATAAGTAATGCCACTGAAACTCAACCCATCCATTTTTATTCAAGTCTACAGTGTAGGACTCACTTCCAGGTACTACATGAGTGTATTTGTCTCACCGTGAAACATCTCAAAACTGGAGTGGAGTGGTTTTCTCTGTGTCCTTCAAACTCATCGCAAAGACCAGTCATAGACCCGACTCCAAACACCTGGCCTGCATACATCGGTCACTTCCTCATTTACACTTGCACACACACATGCACACACTCACACATCTGGCTTCGGGCTTGACAAAAACAGGTAGTGAGAAATCTGAATGGCTGTTGAGGCGAAACGTGTCTGTCTGTGATGGGATTGATTTGGCCATGATTTGTATATGAATGAGCGTATCTGTGTCTGTGCAAGTCTGTCTGTAATCTCTCCTCTGTGTGTGAGTCATAGTGGTTTGTGTTGTTGTGCGCTCTCGTCGTCTAGTCTAAATATACCAGCAGACCATGAGAAAGATTCTCTCCATTTCTTTTCTCTGTGGCCACCAGCCTCCTGACACATATTGCCACTTTGTTGCAGCCTTTCACTCCTGATATTACACCATTTGTGAGCAGAAGAGGTTTAAATAGGAGCCATTTTAAGACCAGACTCTGCATTTACAGAGCCGTGATGGCCGTCAGGGCTTTTGCAGAGATATGCGGGACGTGCTGCTGCCTTGTCGAGACCTTGAGGCACTTTAAATGGAGAGAGGAGGAAGAAAAGGAGGTGGTAGGAGGTTATACATAAGCCTGTATCAGCCGGGCAGAGAGCGACAGTTTGGGAGAGGATGACAGAGAAAAGAGAGAGTGATATACAGACACGCACACAGACAAAAGAGGAAGGGCAGATGGTAAAAAGAGAGGATGAGATGTGTGAAAAGCAACAGTTAGCCTGTGTCTTCACTGTGTGCCAGTCTGGCCAGAATATGGCAAGCTTTTTACACTTTCCTTCATCTGACACTCTCCCTCTTTCGCACTTCTTCACAAAAACTACTCAACGACACGGCGTCAGTTACACAAGACTGGGGTTAAATAGCTTTTTAAAGACGTTTAACACCAGATCAGAGCCAGAAACACAAGCTGAGATCACATCAGAGCTTCAGTGTCTCAGAAGGCTGTTTATAGCTTACCATGCCATTGTTTCAATCCAAGGATAAAATCATTTTAATGGTTTTAAACATCATACCAAAAAAGTTGTTAATATGGCAGCTAGTTGCCCAAACTCTCAAACAATGATGAAACATGTGGCCTTATAGGTTCATTTGAATTTCCTGTGAGGAGTTTTTAAGTACTTCTGAAACAGACTGAAAACAACAGGGATATATCTTTATGACCTTAAGAGCAGACAAGACCATTAGAAACAGGACTGAGCTCTTATGTGAGCTAATTGTCAACACCTGAAGCAGGGTGAGGGGGTAAGTTTTGTGTGAGACATTGAGACACTGAAGGAAAAGCCTCATTTTTCACTTTCCACAGAAATTATTCATCGTAAGTGAAACATTGGTAACACTTTACTTGACGCCTATCTCTATAACACATTATAATTATATATGTATTTTAATATAATTTTGTACATGCACATCAACTGATAAAACAGCTGATGTAAGCAGCAGGTAGAATAAAGGAGGGAAACACTCCTAACTGTCACCCACTACACTTGCTGGGCATTATTCAGACTTCTACCTGCTGCATCCTCACACCCGCTCCACCTAGACTTCTTGCAGGAATGTTACCTGGAGTTTGTCAGGCAAAAGTCGGGATAAGTCGAGGGGAAGATGCAGTTGTGGGTGTTCACACATGCATCTCTCTTGGTGAAAGTCAGGACATTTTTGGGAGTTTTGTTCATAAGTGAAAGGGGCTTTTGTTTGACCACAATGCCACCACTCACCCTTGTTTAAAGAGAATTTAAAGAGTGTAAAAGAGAAAAGCATTAAGATATGCAGACATAGCTGCTGTATTTGATGGTTGTAGTGTGAGAACTGCTCGTGACTCAATGGACTGAATAAGAAATGTTATAATAGGCCTGCGGTGCTCCAGGAATAGAGTGTTTTATTCTTGTCAACCAGTCCAGCAGTTAAGTAATGTGACCTGTTTCAAGCATCAGGATGGACAGACTCTCATTATTCCACAGTTTACACATTAGAATAATACAGGCCAAGTTAAAGAGCATCTCCTGCAGAGCACTTCTCTTTCTCTCTGCTAGACAAAAAGTTCAGACCGGACTCAGAGTGTGGTTAGTTGTTTTTCTTCTCCCTGCACTACTTAAGATAAGCATTCAGGATATGTTCCTTTAACCCATATGACCCTGACAGACAGCACCAATCCTAATCCCACACACACTCACACACACACACACACATGCATGTCCTCGTCCCCTCTGGCTCTTCCTCCTTCTATAGGTAGACGTATAGGGAGGTAAAGGAGTGGAGTGAGGGGGGGAGTCGGGACACATTTTTTGGCAGTGGTTAGTAGGCAACATACATTATATACACGCACACACACACACACACGCACACATGCGGAGCTATGTTTCAACTTGATTTACAGTGCTCAGCTGCAGCGAATGAGAGAGCGAGAGAGAGACACAGAGAGAGGGAGAGAGATTGGGGAGTATATTTTACAGGTAGCAGATCTGGGAGAAGAAGACATATAGTGATTGTATAACTGTATTAAACAGAAGTGGCGCAAGAGTTTATCGGGCCCTACAGTGGCCTGCCTACAGGGAAAAGTGTGGTTTTTGCTCAGGAAATATGAAAATGTGTACCTCACACATGACTTTATGTGCCTCACAAAAAACACAGGTTAAGTGTTAGGAAATGGCAGACAATGAGGGTTATTTCATAGAAATAGTGAAATACAAATTCCAGCGTGATAAGCTTTTTAAAACAGCTTTGCATGCTTTTCTTCTGGAGCTGATTTTGTGATTTCCAGGGTTTAGTTTGGGGCTTTTACACCTTTGTTTGGAAAGGATAGGACACCAAGTAGAGTGGAAAACTAAGAGAGAAAGTTGAACCCAGGCCTTCTTTGAGGAATACAGCCCCTTTCACAAGCTTAACCGCTACGCCAAACTAGCATTGGTAATTCTTAGAGATTTAAAAAATAGATATATATTCCATATGTAAAAGAGATTTATATAGTCATTGTTTTACATAGAGGCAGTGTGAGGAGTTTTTCAGTGGTTGAAACAAGGCTGATATTAACATTGATGCCTTCAAAAGAGACCATCAGCAGCAAGGATGATCATTTCTCTGTTGTATTTTTAATTTCAAAGTCACTGTGAGGAAGTAGGTGTCAGAGGACATGATTGATATGAACAAACAGCCTTTTTTCTTGCCAATGATAAATACTCTAAGTGACTGATGCATTTTAGTTTTAAAGAGACCAGGATGAAGTTTTTGCCTAAAACGCCCCTTTCACATGTGATTAGAATTATAAATGTGTCCACAGGGGGCACCAAAATCAACACATACTTAAAGTTCCACACAGTGACTTTAAGATATTCATTACAAATATATTACATTTTGAAAAAAAGTTTCCTATATAAACAAAGAGACATTTTTTAACAAGACTCTTGATTGTCCTTTGAATATCCATATAATTGTATGCAAAATTTTAATACACAATGTGGACTTCCAATGATTTAGCTCTGCAAATCCTTTAAAAAAGTCCTTAATGGGTTAATAAAGAAGGTCTCATAAGTATCACTTTGTCTTGGGATGAACTACAAAACTCAAAGTGAAAGTACCCTCAATGAGACTCCTGTATGTCTTCAGCTGAAACATTACTAATGCAGAGTGAGAGCAGATTATCCAGACTGATAGAGACGACATTTAGACATGTCATGACAGGTAAATCACAGGTGGCCCTGATCACTGTTATATAAAGTACATACCATTCAGGTGAGTCGTAGCTGCTGACAGAGTGGACAATAAATTGAACTGAGCCACCCTAATGGAAAAACTCTTACACAGTTAAAATGACTAAATTACAGTGCAAAACAATAATCAGTCGATATTTTTGTGAGGAAATTGTTGATATTAATGTTTCTTAATGTTATTTTTTAGTGCAGTGAGTGACAAAATGCCAGAGATGGATGTTTCAGAACCTTCACAGCTCCTTTTTTTCTGTTTGGATGAAGCAGTCTTTCCATCATAAGTCATAACTCTTGCATCACCAGGCTTGCGTGCAGGCTGATATTGTCCCTGAGACACAGTGAAAACGCTGTGCAAAGAGCATTCACAGCACACAGTTCAATCAGACAGTTTGCAACATGATGACCGACTGTATGACTCAGGTCTGAGAAAGTAAAAATTAAATAATGATGAGATGCAAATCTGTACATGTCTTCACTTCGGCTCTTCAGACCTGCAACTGTCATACACTCCATACACATGTCCTAGTATTGCAGTAACTGGTGCATCTTTTGTAAGGTGAAACTTATATTATTGTCAATGAAGTTTAAGGGGGGAGTGATATAGTAGTGTTTCTGGTTTCACAGGTCTGTCTCTGGGGTGACACTCTGCACTCTAACCACCGCCTGACTTTTAACGTAAATTTCTTTTAAAACTAAAAATTCTTTAGAATTTTTAACACACCCACATCATTGCAAGTGTATTTATCAAACTGTCAAGTTAAAATATCCCCTGGCACAATTTCAAAACCTGTTTCAGACTCAAATTATGGAAAAACAAATAAATAAATAAAAAGTGATAATAATGATAATATTAAAAAAAAGACAGGAAGAAGGCCCAGTTTTAATCACACTTATCAATCAAGTAAGATAACCCATAATTTTGCTTGCCAGCTTGACAGTAACTTTAAAGTGTGCAGATTTCTTGAACATAACCACACTGTTTTGTGTCCGTAAATGCACTAAACGCTCATCTTGTTTTTGTTGTTTCATATAAATTTGTTTGCTGGCTGCACCGGCAAATATGTTTGCTTTAAGTGCAGAATTTTCTTTGGTCAGTTGTACTCACATTAAGCGTAATCACGTTGCCTTTTTTGGCAGTCGTCAGCCATATGGACCTGATAAGATTTGAGTTTTTTCATGGAGCTTTAAGAGAGAGAGAGAGAAATATACCTTTATTAGTCCCACAGGGGGGAAATTCTGAAAGCAGATTAGCATCGCCCTGGAACAAAACGTTCCTAAAGCAAATAAGTAAAATAATACAAAGTGTTATTGTATTTTTCTGGTTGATTTAGACACTAATATTTGTACAAATAGGAAACAAAAACAGATTAGTCATTGACGGTAATGCTAGTTTATGCAGTGTGTAGATGTCTTATATGTTACAATGTGTAGGCTCGTCTTGATTGTCACATTTCTTCTTATTCTGTCTACATTTAACAGGTGATGTGTCCCTCTTTAATTGCTTTAGTGACGTCACCATCAATACTTGCACGTCATGATCATGTCTGCATTGTTCCCATGCAGTTTTGTGGTGTGAGAGAGCAGCTGAGAAGTGATTTTTGGGTCAGTTTATCACTTCTCGAGTATGTTTTCCCTTACACATAAAGGCAGTAGTGAAGGTAAGATAATGCAAAAGCAGGAACAATGATGCTGTGGTGAATTATGATGATGGTGTAGCCGCTGTGAGGTTCTGCAGGGTTCAGACCAGCAAATACTGGCAGCTTTTCGTAATGGGCTGAGTGACCTTCTCATCAGGAAACATTTTTTTAAAAGATTGCCCACCAGCTGTTATGAATATGATGGCCTTCTGGGTTATTAAGAGCTAATGAGGAGGAGAGCTACCTTAAATATGAGGAGTGTGTGTGTGTGTGTCAGGTCCCAGGGGTGCCTGAATGTTTCCTCTTTCTTTTTTACCCTTCTTTTTTCTCTCTCTCTCTCTCTTCTTTATCACAGGGGCATAAAAATGCTGCAGAAGTGCTGAATGGTGTGTTGTAAATGCTGAAGATAGCCGAGTGAAGAGTAGACGTGTGTGTGGTTAAATTAACTACACACTGTATGATTTTTATATTTTGTCTTTTTTTAACCACCGTCTGTTGTAAGACACAGGAAAAAGAGGGAGGAGAAGGTTGTGAAAGGATGAAAGGAGGACTGGTAATTAACAGGTATGCCATCTCCTTCTAGGAAAAAGTTGCGTCAGTGCATATTCGGCCTTAAATCTTGTCTGGACCTGACCCGACATGAGTCCCAGCGCTCTCTTTCTGCGAGAAGCGGACCGTGTTTACCCTGGAACCGAAGCTCTTTCCTCCCTGTTAAGAGCCTCTGCAGTCCCACTGCCTGTGCCCAAATCTCAGGGTTAAAAAAAACAAAACATTTAACTTTTACATGTAACTATGACAGAAACTGAGGGTGACATACCATACAACAGATTTAAAAACAACGTTTACAATCCTGTGCTATATTCATGATATACTACATATCCCATATCAATAACAATACAACAATGATAACAACAACAAAAGACAACGTAAGCTATAATCACCAGTATAGTTTACTGCAATAAAGATATGATACAATACAGTACAATATGGCAATATGCAAAATAAAGCAAACTACAATATAATCAGTGAAGTGCATATACAACACCATATGGTATGGTACAGTACAATACACTAAGGCTACGTTCACACTGCAGGTTTTGATGCACAATTCAAATTTTTTGTTAAATCCGATCTTTTTGTGCGGTCGTTCACATTACAACAACGAATGCGGCATCTAACGCGTCCGTGAAGTGACCCACATGTGCACAAAGCACAAATTGCTTTCCGCGCCTGTTTGTGTTGTCGAACAATGGTGACGTTTGTCGCATATTGATGATGTATAGGTCGGATGAACGCGACCTGAGCGTCCTCACTGCAGTCACATCAGATACATACATATATGATGTATATCCACATACAAAAGAGGCCTGGGTCAGATTTTAAAAAAAAATCCGAATTGCACTGTTCACACTTACATGAAAAAATAAAATATGTGTCACATATGGTTAAAAAATCGGAATTGACCTGCAGTGTGAACATAGCCTAATATAGGATAGGATAGGATACGCTATGATACAGCAGGATGGGATATGTAACACTTAATCTACGATGATATTGAATCAAAGAATTCTGCAATTATCAGTTTACCACAAGAAAATTATACAACAAAACACAATGATGAAAAACTTTGTTCTTTTTTTTTTTTCTTTTTTTTTCTATTGGAATATCTACAGTATATCTATATAAAAAGTCAGGCCAATGATGTAACACTTTATCAATACCTGCCGCTGTAAGCCCCTAGATATTTTATCCTGTTTGATTTTCTCTTCAAAGTCCACAAACTCAATAGTCTAAATGTTGTGAAAGTGTTGAAAAGCGGAGGTAAGTTCTGTAAAATAGTGAGTCACAGCTGGAGAAAAGTCCTCTTTGTTACTTACTGCACACCCTCTTCACTTTGTCAGAAAGCAACATGTGGACACTCCTCCACCTTTATCTCAAGGGGGGAGTATGGTTTCTCAATTATCCCTGTTTGGCTATCCCCTTCCGACCTGTGGCTGTATTTACGCGAACGCCCATTTTATCCATGGCTTTTAATGGCATATAAAAAAATCACTTCCCCATCAAAATGCCCTCTCCTAATAGCTTTTCAGAGTTGTTTGGGAGCTGTTTGGGTTTGGTCATTAGTGGACCGTGAGTGTGTGTGTGCGTGTGTGTGTGTGTGCATTTTGGACCCGGCTAAGAGGCGCTGCTGGGTCGTCCTAGGTGGGGAAGAGGCTGGTGTGTGTGAGAGTATATATGGAGGAGGGGTAGTAAGGGTGCATGCATGCTGTGCCCATAAGGGTGGGGTTGGTGAGGGTTTGGGAGTGTGTGTGGTGCAGCACTTAGGCCATGCTGGGCCTGATGGGAATGCCAGGCCCCCACACCACTTCCCAAATCACTAATGGAGCATCTTTGGGCACACGAACAAACACACAAACACACACACAACTTTCACATACATGTGGACTCTGACTCAGACTTAAGTCAAGAACACACTGTTCAGTTCATTCCAAGTAAGAAAGAGATGACAAACAGGCTCATGAAAGGCTAAGATCAGGCATGTGACACCTTCCGCTCTTGAACCTTCTTGTCCTTTGCTGGTGGACAGATTGCAGGCATGTGTCAGTGTTTTCTCTTTGCCATCACAAGTCTTCAGTCATTCAGACATGTTGTTTAGCTGCATGCTGTATTTTATCTGACCTACTTTTCTTTTCTTGGATATATTTAAATGCACATTACATGACATAAACTTGAGGACAAAAATAGTAGTCTAGATCTTCTTGTTTTCTTATTTTTGGACATTTTCACCATCTTGTATTTGATGCATGTTCATGTTTAAAAAGTTATAATGCCATATTTCAGGATTAAAAAAAGGGATAAAAAGGGACCATCTATACATTATTTAAAATCCTGTTTAGCTTTTATAAGCACTTAAATAAGCGTTAAAACCAAATCATGACAGGCTGTAATGTTTGCAGAGAAAAGAGCAGCTTCAGGTGTTTTCTCCTGTATATTTTCTGTCATTTAAGGTCCTCTGAGGAGTTAAATTGCTTTTAGAGTAGTGTCACTCTTATATTAATGCCTACCTCTCTAAATCAAATGAGATTATCGGTTCTTTCTTTACACTGCATTTTAGTGTTAGTGTAATTTAAGTATCTGATTTTTCCTTTTAAAAGCCAAGCCGATCTTTAGCTGAGCGGTGTGACATGAATTGGGAAGTAAGAGGATATTTTTTCTTCACACAGTGTTTTGTACTTGATAGTGGAGCAGAATTGGCAAAAGAAACACATTTCCTGCAGAAACAAGAGATAAGAGATAAACCAAACGCATGTTTGTGTTATTCAGATATTCACCGGGCTGCAGGGCACACAACACAACATGACACCAGGGTAACTTTACACCAGTATGTCTGGTTGCCTTTTGTGTAAGAGTTACAAAGTTTTGTCATTATATATTAAAGTACAAATACATGCAGTCCCTTATTCCCTCTTTTGTGTGTGTATGCTACAGTCAGTATCAGTAAATGGTTACTATTATATTAAACCAGAAGATGATGCTGATTTTCACAACGCACATCTATTAAAAAATACAAACAAAGAGCACATCTGCAACCTCATGCTCCTGTTAAATTCATCATTTTGTTAAATAAACTTCACTAACTTATTCTGATTTGATGTAACGCCCGCAGAAGAACGTGAGAATCACACTGTGTTATGAGTAATGTAGTTCCAGTCATGTTATGTATCCAAGAGGGGCTGTAATCTGGAGAGGATAGGAAAGAGTCTTGTTTAGCTGGTAAGAAGTCCTGCAGTAAACTTAAAAAAGCGTACCAGCCAACTTAAGTACCTTTTTGCATAGCGACACATTTTATCCTCACTCTGCATCCTGTGATAAGTTCTCTTAAAGAAAATTAGCACTGAAAAAGGAGATCTGTATTCAATTTATCAATGTACAATTTAGCTAAAGCTACACCTATATAACAGTGAGTGACAGAGGTGCTCATGGGAAATGCAGTCCTCTTCCTTCAAAACAAACAAACACAAGTTTATTCACCAGATTGAATGCAACAACAACACTCTTCTCACACAAGGTCTTTCAGTGAGAGGGTTTTTCACCGTATTGTCTGCTGACAAATAGATAAATGAGCATAAGCACCTGCTACAAAACATATTTAAATCATTTATTACTGCTTTTCAACGCTAAATGAAGGGTAATGTGTCAGAGTAAAAAAGTCAAAGCTCAAATACAACCTTTCTGATGCATATTTATCTTGTTTTTGTTGAATGGAAATGAGATTTTCTTTTAGTTTTTATACATTGATGCCCTCAGGCAGCAGTAAAGCACCAGTGATCAGATTTATGATTGACTCTTTATTGGTTCTGACAGTTCCTCTGATGATTTAATACCAAATTAATGCTATTAATGGAAAAATCAGCTGCACAAATAAGAAACTCAGTGAAGTTGGTTTTTCTGGGTTAATCTGATGAAATCTTTCAGCCTCGCTCTCTTTCCAACACGTTTGACTGGCGGTTTTTCACAAACCAAAGAATCTCTCCATCATCTGACTTCGGTTCCAGCTCATGCGCTGCTTGTTTCTCTTGGAGGGCAAAAGATTTCCTTTGGCCACGGGTGAGGGGGGGTAGAGCGGTGGGGGCTTTTCTCTCCGGGAGCCGTCACAGTGGCCTCGTACACCGGGCTGAATTTAAAGAGGCAGGTAAACTGCTGCTCGCTCCAGATTAACAGAGCCATATATTCAGCCTGTCTTTGGCTTTTCTACCCTCCTCCCTTTCCTCCTTTTCTCTGTTTCTCCATCTCTCGCTCTTTTTTCCTCTCTGCTCGCAGTTTTTTCTCGGCCTGTAGAAAACGTCTGGGGGATCGATAGGGCTCTCCCGCTGTAGTGACTCGCAGCTCTAATGAATCAGGCCTATGTGTTTGTTAAGTAGACAAGGTGGTGAAGCAGCGCTGGAGGGAGTTTGTCTTTGTGTTTTATCTGGTCACAGCGCTACCTTCACTGTTGAATCAAGATCCTCACATTCACCTTTGACCTTTTCTCCTTTTACGTTGAAATGTATTTGTCTAAACTAGAAGACATTATTAAAATGTGAGCATGTTTGTTCCTCGTTGCTATCTGAACTGACTCTGTTTCTGTCATTTTCACCAGTCAAGAAAATCTGAAAATAACCACTCCACATAACTATTTATTATCCCTGCCAACATTTGCCTCTGTGCTGGAGTCCATCCTGAAATCCTCTTGTGCACTGTGCACTGAAATCAAACGCCTGAAAAACCTCCCAAATTCACCCGAGACCCGCTTCAACATGAAGCCTCTTTCTAAAAAAGAAAAAGGGAGAGGGAGGAAAAAAAAAATCTGAATTCTTGTGTTTTTCTCGCAGCTTAAACCGTATCTCTCCAAGGTCGGACAGTGAGACTGTGGGAGGCTGTTTGTGTTAAAAGCAGGATGGCTTGTATTTCCTCTTCTCCTTCCTCCTTCTTTTTTTTTCCTTTTTTTTTTTCTTTCACCACAAGGAAAGCTGTCCAAAAAAAAAGAGGCTTTTTATCGCTGATGGCTAATAGTCATAAATTTGTATTAAATATGTCCTTTATCGATTGGCCTTGTTGGATGAATACAATTAAAGAGACGGCGCTGAGTGCTTCCCACCTGGGAGCAGAGGGATGGAGGGATTCAAAGAGGAGGGGAGGAAAACAAGTGAAAGAATAGACGAGCAAAAAGGTTTTTGGCAGCAGCTCGGCTCCTCGCTCGAGTCACAGCTTGTCCACATGTTGCCGCAAATGTGTGTGTGTGTGTGTGTGTGTGTGTGTGTGTGTGTGTGGGCAGTCAGGGTGTGTGTGGCTGTTTGTAGTGATTCATCGTGCTCCTCTTCTTTTTCCCTTATCCCCCTCTATGATTCCCCCTCTCCTCCTCTTTTTCTCTGCTGTTTTTTTATTCCCAAATCAAGAGAGGGAGTCAGAGGAAGGAATGTGGAAAAAAAAAAAGAAAGAGGGATTGAGGGTGGAAAGAGAGAGGACGGAAACAAACAGGACAGGACAGCCACCTGTATGCAATGTTGATGGACAGATGGAGGGATGAAACCGACTGGGCGGAGGAGGGATTAAACGAAGAGAGGAAGCAAAGAACGGTCTCTGTGTGTGTGTGTGTGTGTGTGTGTGTGTGTGTGTGTGTGTGTGTGTGTGTGTGTGTGTGTGTGTGTGTGTGTGTGTGTGGGCCTCAGGCCAGCTGAGGTGTTTGCTCAGCTCAGAGTGATCTCCCACTGTGGTCACTGCAAGACACACACATATACACACACGCACGCACACACACACATACACTTAAACACACACACACACACTGATGACTGAATTGTCCTGCTTGGCAGCTGTTGCAGGTCCCTGTAGATCACTCAATACCAGACTGGCTTTGTGTATGAATGTGTGTGTGAGTGTGAGTGTGTGTGAGTGTGAGTCTTTAGTGACCACCAGCCTCTTGCTTGTGGCACTAAAGAAAATCTGCTTCCTCTCAGCGTGTGCTCTTGTCCCATCAGGGATTTGTGTGTGTGTGTGTGTGTGTGTGCGCGCGTGTGTGAACTTTCAGGAAAATCAAAAGTTGCTGTTTTAGTTAAAATGGCGCTCTCCTTTTCGTCACTTTTTGTAACTCGGGCTTTAGACCTCTGATTTTATCCATGCTGTTGGACTGAAACTGAAAACTGAGGTCTTTTTAACAATTTAAAATTTGTTTCTAAATGTTTTATAAATTTTCTAAATATATCTTTTCATCAAACATAGTTTTGAATTATTCTCTGTAATTTAATTGTGGGAGACAGTCCTCTGAAGAGCTCTCAGGCCAGGGGACACTGATGCTCTCCACTTCTGAAACTTGTTATTTTATGAAACCATTTGAAGTTTTTCAGTGATTTTGTCGTTTCTGAAAAATTTAACTAGTGGCGTCACTTTCACAACATTACTTGGAGACAGTCCTGACCTTTTTTGTTTTCCATGAAGACTGCCACACAATCAATTATCTTTTACTTTATAATCAAATCTACATTATTATCCTCTTTTTTCCTCAGACAGATTTAAGCAGCAGCTTTATTATTTTCAGAACTTTTATTGTTTAGTTGTAAATGCGGTGTCCATTATTCTTGATCGGTCAAGAGGCAGAAAAACCATGAAAAAAAATTAACTGTCAAATCAATTTTTAAATCAAATCCTCCTGAAGATTAGATTGTGTCTCTAAATATTCCTTATAAACACATTTAAGTGGCGTAGAAGTCATTCATAATTACAGAAAGTGATGTGTAATCAGGAGATGAAATGTAAACTTCCTAATTTTCACAACACTACTGATGCTAGAGGTAAAGATGCTTAAAAGTACACCATGTGCGGTCATGTTAGGGGTCTGTATGTTTGCCAAGAGCAAGAGGTCAAGCAGGAAAACACTTTGAAACAGCTCAATGTGTATCAAAACACGAACAGGTTCTCTGTTTCCATCCTGCCCAACCTTTTTTTCCTAACTGACAGATAATTTGTCTCACCAAGAGTTTTAAGTTTGTCTTCAGAGAACATGTTATTTAAAACTGATCATGTTTGTTCCTCGTTGCTGTCTTAACTGCCTTTATTTCTGTAGTTTTCACCAGTTAAGATAATCTGAAAACAACCAGTCTACATAACTGTTTATCATCTCTTGATCACTTGAGGTTGTGCAGCAGCGTTGCGTGCATGTTTACATTTTACAGTCATGTGACACACACATGTAAAGTCATCATTTTTTTGTCCTTAAGTGATTGGCTGCATTGAATTGAAAGCATATATATTTTGTGCTTCAGGCACATTTCAGCTGCAGTTGTCAAATGAAATATATATCATTCAGCTAGAGTAACAAATGACTGACATGCTCATTTAAGCAGACACTTGTATTCAACATAAAAAGAAGCTCCTGAGGTGGAAGAACATTTTATGCACAGAAAACCATGCAGCAGAGTTTGATGAAAAATGTCATAAATGAGATTCCTGTATGACTCTCATTGAGATAGATATAAAAAAACAACCTGAAGTGACCATCAAAATCTGATGACAATCTGCAACAGATAAAGAGATGAAAGCTCCTTTATCCCGGGCTTTACGTTTGCTGACTCATTCAGCACTCTGTGTGTCTGTGTGCGTATTTTTGTGCGAGTGTGTGTGTGTGTGTCTGTGTGCGCACAGGACCAAGTTTCCTCTTTCAAACCCCGCTCTTTCTCTCTCTGGCTCTCTCTTTGCTCACATAAGTGTTGTAATTTGGATGCTCTGTAATTTCACCATGGTGGTTTGGGGTTAAGTGGAGGCTGTCCCTGCCATTGTGAGTACCGGCCTTCCAAATGGACACACACATTCACTCGTGCGCACGTGCACACACACACGATCATTGCTGCATTGCGCTTGGATGCTTCTACAAAGGCCGGTCCATTTAATTACATTTATAAACACAGTTTAAGGGCCCTGGCTGTGTCATTAGAACAGACTTTACGAGATACATTACTCTGTGTGTGTGTGTGTGTGTGTGTGTGTGTGTGTGAGAGAGAGAGAGAACGACAGAGAGAGAGAGAGTGTGTGTGTGTGTGTGTGTGTGAGCGTGTGTGCGACAAAGAAAAGGAAAGGAAACTTTGTCACATGGCAGCTATAATGGGTGATTGGATGGACACTAAAACACACCAACACACTTACACACACTCATACACACACACACACACAAGTAAATTACTGGTGAGAGAGTTGCAGATAGCACAGTCTGTAGCCCAGCAGGGGTTCCAAACACAGAGACAGAAGGTATTGATATATCCCACACACACACACACACACACACACACACACACAGAGACACACACACACACAGGGACAGACGGTATTGATATTTTGCCCATCAGCCTAGGGTGTGTATCTGTATTCAGCGGGCTCACACAGATACACACACACTGTCGCACACACACACACTCACGCACTCAGCATGAAATCAGACAGGCTCAATAATCCATTGTTGTTTTTGATAATTCAAATACGTTCATAGTCCTTTTTCTTCCTCCATAAAAATACCAGATCATTATTGTCAGGCTTTCGGGAGTCTTTTTTTTTTTGTTGGTAAAAACTGTTTGTATTTGATGAAGTATTAAGGCTGTTTTTTAACCAGTTGTAGTTTTTCTTTTCACCTTGAATTTCAATACCTGCACTCCTAACAACTTTTAGTCGATAAAACTGCTTCCTTTTAAAGACAAAGAGAGGAGTTTTTTCAAGTGCCTTTCCTACACAAAGCTTCGTTTTGTACAAAAGCTCATCCTCCGCTGGTTGTATTGATCCCATCAGGACTCTCAAGTCTTTGGAAGCTGTTCAGTACTTTTCAGTCCGCATACCTGTTTTCAGCTCAACTTTTTTAATATCTTGTTTATTTGTCAGAGCATTACCGCCTGTCCAAACACTCCACGAGATTTAGTTTTGTAGAAACACACCATCCCCTCATTTTGTGTAGAAACTACTTCAGTTTTAAGAGTTGTTTTTTTGGCTAAAGTTATCAGACATTAAGAACAGCAATTTGTGCTGATAAGTGGCAAAAGTAAACCCTTTTGTGGTCTGGAAATGCTCAGTTTGCCAAATTATTCTTGGGGGTGTCAGCAATGGTTGGATCCAAAAGAGCCCATTGAAAGCAACTGCACAAACAAACAACCAATTGGCATGAAATGGAGCGGATACCAACGGAAATGTAAATGAACACCAGGATGCAGAAGAAAGAAACGCACCTTTCTCACCAATGAACACCGCATTTGCAGTCGTTTAGGTCTTGTTTTAATACAAATACATAATCTGACATGTTTGAAACGGCCATCATTAACACACCATCCAGTGTTGGGAGCTACCATCTGTGTTTTTAGGAACAAGCTGAAGTGGTTCTCTTACGTTGTCATCTTAAATGAAGGATTGTGATTGGGTTGGTACATCTGCTGTCAACGAAAGCTGTTGCAGATGTTCATTGGGGCAATGCCAGACCAATGAAAGGGTAGATTAACTCTAAAAAGGATTACAATGCAACCATTTCAACTATTATCCTGGCTGCAGAATTAGGCCCAATCTGATGGCAGTGGACCTCATTCTTCTGGTGGTCATTTTCTTGAGACGTCATGCTCAGGGTTAGGAGCTCAGCAAACCTCCATAATCTGGCATACTGTGGTCATGTCACAGTTCCCAGCCCCAAAGACCATAAATGGTTAAAATAAAGTGAGAGATTGAGCCATAGTTAATGTTAAAGGCATATTTGACAGCCTATTGGCTAAATCAGAACACAGCTGACTTTATCAGTTAGCTTCTAAATAGTAAGCAGTTGTTTGAGCACTCACTTACCAATCAGGCAGTGCAGTGTAAACATTTATCTCTTAAGCGTTGCATAAAATTTTACCCGTAAAGGATACATCAACTCTCCAAAGCAACGATTCTACGTTTTGTGTTTTCTTGGAAAGCTGACAGATGTCGGTGCTTCGCCTTTGCTCAAAGAAGTCGTGTCATTCTTAAATAAATGAGGGTGGACAAATAATAGAGCATCCCAAAAAAATCTGGGAACAAAACTATCTGTATTTGCACATTGTAGGGTGGTTTCTGTGGTGTGTCCATCTTCTTTTATGATTGCCCTTGTATCAAGAGTGGCACACTCTGCTTGTACCTGCAGCATTTGAGGAAGTCGCTTTGATCTAGCCTGCGACCTATCAGAAGTAATAGAGGCTGATTTTCCTCCGAGCAGAACCCTGTCTTTATTCATGTTGTTGTGTGACTGCATGGCTCCTTTCACTGAAGGGACAGGACCCCTGTTTGCTGTCCAGTTAGCAAAGAAGCTGTAGAGGTGGAGGTCAATTCAGATACAATCTCTCTGCACCTTACTTACCATGTTGGTTGAATTTTGTGCAAAATGTGGATTTTCCAGTAATAATTTTAGGGGCTTCTGACCAAGTGAACAATATTTTTGTCCTATTTTAAGGCAGATGTCAAAACAGATTTGCCTTGAAATTGACCTCCATGCATTTCCTTTTAATTTGGCCAACACAGTTTTTTCCCACATACAATATAAGCCTAAGGGTTACTGAATTTCCCTAACTCCAACAAGAACATGCAGTTCTGAATTTAAAACATTAAAAAAAAAAGATGTAATCAGTGTAACAAGCTTTTCACATGACAACAATGATATGGATAAGTGCTTTTGGGAAGTATAACTGAATGTTGGGATGGAAGCAGAAAGCCACAACTGTTGCACTTAAGTGGGTGATGATGGAGGAAGGCAGGGAGGAGGGCTGGAGTATGGCAGAGGGGTCGATAATGTTTGTGTCCTGGAGAAACCATTTCAATTTTTTTTTTTTTACTGGAACAGATGGCTTATGAAAGAGTTTTTATTGGAGTTTTAGTATCAGTTACAATATGAATGTATAGAAGCAGCCATGGGACCTTTTAGTGGAGTATGTCACTGAAGACACACATGGACTTGAACGAGGAGAGGACAGATTGATGACTTTATTTACCCATTTTCACATCATTAATACTGTAAAATGAGACAACACATGACGATCTGTGAAGGCTTTCGAACTTGCAATATTGTAAAATGAGATTGGAAACAGTTCAGATGGACATGTGAGGCGCAGAACATTACTTTTACTTTTTATCAGTCAATAGTCAGCTTCACTTTCTGCTGTGATAATGTTGTAAATGTTTTTTCCTTTCTACATAAGGTCAGAGGTCAGGCTAATACCAAAGTTGGCTGATTATCAGTTAGCTCCTTCGTAATATTTTCTTATGTGTGATGTACTGTTACCAGAGGAGGGTTGAATGATCTTATTTACCGAGAAGTTCCTTTTCAGAGGAAGGGTAAAACTGATTTCAGTCGGCACCACTTTTGTCACAGAGAGTGAATTGGTTTTAAGCAATAGTTTATACTCTGTGGTTTAGTGGTGTGGTTCGCCAAAGCCTAAAGCAGGATACAGCAAAGAGTGGCTATTAGTGACACTGGTGAAATCACATGGTGACATTTGCTGGTTGAGTGCAGAGAGGGAGATTGGCTGAACTGTCAGCTGATGTCCTGTGGGCTGAGCTTGACTTCTTGGCCTGCCTGGACTAACACCGAACCATCTTGTCAAATTACAGGATTAAACTCATGGTTTATTCCCCCGCTATGACAGCTCGGCAAGTTTTTTTTCTTCTTTTTTTCCTACATAAAGGTCAAAGGTCGAATTGATACAAAAGCAGGGAACACCAGAATTAGCCTTTTTTGTGGTTAAACATAATTTCCTATCTCTTAAATGTTGTTCTAATCTGTCCTTCTTTAATTTAATGACTGTGACAAATTAAGATTATGCTTTTAGACATTTTTACACATGCAGTTTGAGTGAAGACTAAGAATTCTCCTTTCAGGTAAATCAGGAGGTGATCAGGGGCGAGCGACTATGCCCAGATGTAAATATAAGCGGCAGATTCTGAAAGCCTGAAGCTCAGAGAGAAATCCCAAATTGTATTAAGGGACATTGTCCCTCACTCCCAGTATGCGTACCTAATCCTGTTTCAGCAATGTTCCATTACCTCAATTACTATCATCTCACCCAGAGGTGGACCCGGCCAAGGACACCACCGGAGAGCCAGCGATGGGTGGAGAGGATAGAGGGGGGAGGGAGGGAGGGAGGGAGGGCAGTGAAGGAGTGAGTTCTTCCAACAAAGAAAGTAGGATGGAAGAGGAGAGACTGGAAATAACTGAACAGAGGACAGAAGGGTAAAGGGAGAAAAGTTAGGAAAGAGAAATTATCACAATGTCAGTGCAGGGGAACAAATTAAGGTTATTGAAATTATAATATAAATAATTTAGAGCCAGTGAGATAATAAGATACCTGTCTGAGCCGAGAGCAAAGTCCTGGCATCTGTTTTTATTGTTACAATGAGTAGAAGAGGGGTGCAATGGTGACTTCATATATATGTGAATATGAAGGTTTAAAGACACAAGAATGTGTTTTATTAAAAAGGTGTTAAAACAACAACCTATCCCAATTGAAATTAAGAGCTAGTTTTATCATTACCGTAAACTCAAACTGATTCATATGACACTTTTGAAATGAACATGAGCAGCTAAGGACATCTATGGTATAGAAAAGATGGTGCAGCAGCTGGGACACAGCAAACACATTTTTGTCTCCATTTCACTTATAGATAACGCAAAAGGCAGCTATCGCACTGACCCAAAAAAAAAAAGATCAAAATCCACAAGTTTAAGGTGAAAATAAACCTCTATTCGTATTCTCATTAGTTTTGCACTCTGCCTACAAAGCAATGAAAGAAAACCAGAGTTTAAAGTGATTAGTTAATGCACCGTGACCCAAATCTAAGCCTGCATTTGTTCATTAATGTAGTTTAAATGGCGTCTTCTGTGTCAGTGCATTTTCTCTGTCCTGAATGTACAGTGTGTCTCCTCAGTTTGGTACCTTGGCTTTATTTCAGCTCCTTTGACAGCCATTGGATCAGAGTGCTACTTCCTTTGGAGAGGGATGGATTGAGCCAGGGGAAGCTGATGCACGCACGCTCACACACACACACACACACACACACACACACACACACACACACACACACACACACACACACACACACACACACTGTTCTAAGGCCTGCGTGCACACACACACACACACCTGCAGGGACACACACAAAGGAGTCGTGAAACATGAGCCAAGCTGCCTCACTGACTCGCTCTCCCATCTAGCGCCACATAAGTGTCCAGGCAATGCCCTTGGCTTAATAGGGCTTAATGCCTGTGCTTGTCACTGTAGCATGGCTGGTATTGAGTGTTAGGACATTTCTGAAACTCTGTGTGTGTGTGTGTGTGTGTGTGTGTGTGTGTGTGTGTGTGTGTGTGTGTGTGTGTGTGTGTGTGTGTGTGTGTGTGTGTGTGTGTGTGTGTGTGTGTGTGTTCTTAGGAGTCTCACTAGAAGCTGTATGGCTTTGACATTTACCCCAGGTAAAAGAACCGGATGCTATTATTTACCCCAATCCCTCCTTCCTCTTCCTCCTTTAACAGTCCTGTTGAATCCCTGATTTCAAAGCTGCAGCCTGTATTTGTCACCACCATCTAACTTAAAAAAGAGGGATTACCTCTCACATCTCATCGCTCTCTTTCCTCTCCTCTGACTCTATCTATCTTCATCTCTCCTGGTCTCCATTCTGCTTTCTCACTTCATTTTTCTACCTCCCAGTGGTGGAGAGTTTGCCTAATGAAGTGGCTGATGGGAGTATATTACAGAGAGACAGAGTGGAGCGGTCGCCTACTCTAAAATCCATTAACCTTACAGTTTCAATCAGCATGCAGACAAGTCTGAGCTACGAGTCAAAGAGGAGCGTATTAGCTTAGGAGTTACACTAGGGTGGCTTCTACTTGTTTTGTTCAATATTTTGCCCAGAGTTTAGTCTGAAATCATAGATCTGTTTTTTTCCTCAACATTTTGCAATGCCACACTAGATAATAAGTGCTATTTCATCATTTATTTTCCTTGTTAGTCCGATCAGAGCTTTTGAAGTAAAAATTGAAGCTCAATTCAGTTCAGCACCAAGCTTTCACTCTCCTGTGAACTTTTTCAAAGAGAGCACAGTTCACTGAAGAACCTTAAGCACATCATTATTACTATTATTGGTACTATTAATGCTCCGTCTTGTGGCACACTGGAACCTTTGTGCAGATTGCATTACATTTGGACAATTACAACAGTTATTCTCATCTGTCTGCCACAAAAATGACATATTTTTGAAAAATTAATGTTGCATTTAGGATATGAAACTCTATTTTGTTATAGCTGGTGGTTGTTGTTATTTATTTTCATTTATGCAGACAGTTGTTGATCACATTAGCCAAGAAAACAACTGCTGCGAACTGCTAAATGTTACCTGATGGAATAGGATTTTTGGCCTATTGTATCTGACCAGAAATGCAAACTATGAAGTTGTCTCAGCTGATAATAACAACCATTTCTAACAAATTGCAATGTTCTGTTTGTGCAAACCTTTGAGTGAGAAAGGCAACAACTCAGTGAATAAAGATGAATACATTTGGATATTCATTACTAAGGCAATTCCCCTCATTACTGTTATTTTTTATATTTCTTCACTGCAAACTGGAGCACTCCTGCGCATGCAATGATGTATTTTTTATATTTAGGTCTTCATTCAGCCTCTTGACCATCAAACTGAGCAAACTCAGTGGATTTATCTCAGAAATCCATAATTCTATGGTCAAACCTCTGTCACTGACATTGTGGATCAGACTGTGAATGTATGTAGTGATCACATCAGACAAGGCAGTTCAGGATACGTCTGTAAATGATGTCTGAAAACTCATCCAGTGTTATAAATTTACAGATTTTAAAGCTTTAATAAACTTTCTGCAGGCCTAAATCTAAACTACGACATTTAGCGCTAATGATAGCTGCAGCTCTTTCTGCTTCATGTTGCTTCAATACACCTTAATTGTAATGGTAACTTTTCAGGTGACTTCATAGAGTTGTTGTTTTAAACCCTGACCAAAATATTTGCTTTAATAGGCTGATCACTTCATGGACAATATAAATCTTGCATTCCTATATTTTACATTCATAAACAATGACATAAACTGTTTTTCTTAGTGTCTTTTCTGTATAAAGGTGTGGATGATATTAAAAATGGTTCCGTCTGAATGACCAAGAAAACAGCAATCACACTGCCTCTTTCCAAAGCTAAAGACAGACTTCACACAATGTATCTAGTAAAAGAGGAGTAAGACTGCCCCAGTGCTGGATAAACAACAATTTCCACTGTACTTGTAGTGGAAAAACAACCCATCACCTCACCAAAGCAAAGGGGAGAAGTGCAGAGCTTTCTACCATCAGTGTTGTCAGTGTCCAGGAAAAGAGAGGAAAAAACTGATGAATAAATAAATAAAGCCTCTCTGGTCCTGATAATGCAAATGATATTCACAGGTTAGATCCTGTGCAGGTGGCCACAATTAGTGGTAATTTGTGCCGATTTTAATGATCCATAATTTAGCTGCCTCTCCAAACTGTTGGTCATGTGGGATAAGTGTGTGTGTGCAGAAAGAGAGACGGGAGATGGGAGGGACAGTCAAACAGAAGGAGGAGGAAGGAGTGCTTGGTTTCAGCTGTAATGTGAACCCTACAGTGAGGGCAGAACTACATTTCTTTTAAAATACACACACAAACAGAAGCACATTCACAAATGTTCTGACAGCAGATACTGTTTGTACTGAATCTGTTTTTTTCCTCATTTAACCTCTTTGACTCTCTCTTACTGGCCATTAAGGGTAAATTGCAGTACGCAGATGTATAAAAGCTTTCGTGTAAACCATGACATCCTTTTAGTATCACTTTTAATTTGTCATATTTGTTCTGCCGGTAATTAGCAGGCGGTATTTTCAGATTTTTGTGTATTTTTGCAGCCCACTTTACCTGTTTACATGTTAATGGAAGGTTTTGCAATTTATTGTTCACGACACGTTACAACAAAATAGCTTGGCATAAAAAATCATCTCATAGAGATAATTAGCAGCAATATTTTGATCTCCAGAATGACACCTGTTTATTTATTTTGACTTTAATAATATTGCACACATTTTAGTTTATTCTACAAGACGACCTTTAACATTTTTGCATGTTTTATCTCTTAAATGTTAACAAAAAAAATATGTTTTGAATTCAGATAGTTCTATTTTGCTGAATTTAGCCTGATTCACTGACATAGACTTGAGGAAAATTTTAAGGATTTGTTTATGGATGGAAGAATCAGCAGGACAATATCCAGAGTCATTGTCAAGGGTGGCATGGCCCGTCCTTTTAGGCCACCCCAGGGGCTTGTGAGAAGTTTAAAATAGTCTGATTGGCTTTTTTTTCTTTCTTTTTGAGTTGGACTCTTGTGACAATTAGTTAATTAGGAGTATGTTTCAACAGAATGCTTGTAGCTGTATTCATTTCTAAAATATAATTTTTTTGTACGATTGTGCTTTTATAAAGTTGAAAAATACTTTTTACATAAGTTCTATTTCACATCTGAAATAGAACAAAATTCACATGAAAGCCTTTCTTTGTTATACAAAATGAACAAGACCATCAGTAAGAGGATTGATAATTCTTATTTTGTCACCTTTAATGCCTGAAATTGTTGCAAGGGGCGAAGTGTCAGTGAAACAGCTGAAGGAAAAAGCCCTGTTTTTACATTTTCTTAAGACACATAAGATACCCACAATAACTGAGTTATTTGACTGTCAAGGTATGATGATAAGCAGATAAGCAAAGACTGCTCCATCCACAGGTGACACAGGAGTGGACACAAACCAAAAGTTCCTCACAGGAGCTTTAATATGAATAAATAATTTATTGACAAAACTTTAACATCTGTACAATACTTGAATGTAACATGAGTTGTGATTAGTTGGGACAGAAAGGGTAAAAATACACACATTTCTTGCTACTCCTGTGAACTTGTGCTCTATGGCTCCAGCCACCCCAACCCTAAATGTCAATAACATTTACAAAAATGTTTGTTTCTCATTAATAAGATTTGGATAAAAAAAGAATAACAGTGACAATACTGTTTCCGATATCAAAACAAGGCAACAAAAATGTGAATTTCGATGATTGTTGGTTAAATTTAACAACACAACTCTCAGTCCTTTAAGAAAGATAGGACAAAAACAAAGAGAATAAAGTCCTCTGGGTTCGACCACTTCATCTTCATCTAGAGAAAGAACTATCTAAATTTAGGACAGAATAGAGTTGTGTTTATTTGAACAACAATCAAAAAAGTCTCTCTTGAAAATAAGCATTACTTACACTATTTATACTGTACCACATGAACAAATACAGTCGCCACCAGTCAGCAAGTCAGTTAACCAATAACTCTCACAGCTTACTAACCCTGCAGAGGCAGATGTGTGCTTTTAGTCATATGTAGTGTTGATTTTTTGTAAAATTACTAAGACAAAAACTGAAGACTAAAATCTGGGACTGCTCTCTGTAGCAATTCTTCCTGTAATATTTCTTTTCCCAGAACATATTTCAGCCCTCTTTGTAGCTTCAAGCATATGTTTTGTGAAAAGATAGCTGTAAGGCCTTGATGTTTGCATGTAGAAGTTTTGGTTGTGATGGTTTAAAGTGTCAGCTAAATGCAGGAAATGTGGCATTGATGTCTAAACTTCTTGTTCAGCTGCGTGTGTTTCCATCTGTGCCATGGTGCATGAAGTGTAACTCTGCTTGTTCACTTTGTCTAACGCATCCACATCGCGCACTGTGCTTAACAGTGGAAGGCTCTGAATGGCACTGATGGGGGTTCGTGTGTCATCTAATCTTGTAAACGAGCTGATGGCCGTCCGTTCGGTTCCCTAATGAGATTACACATGCACTGCAGGTCCCACCACAGGTCATCATCGCTGAGGCCATTCAAAGGCAATTATTGTTTTAAATGTTCCTCTTGTTGCCAGCCCAAAGTGACTCTGCATGCTTCATTGAGGAAGGAAGAAGCTTTGAGGCAGATACAAAACCCGTCGTTTTCCCTCTTCAGTCGGAGTCTAAATGTTTTTTACCCTCCCACTGTTTTACTTTCCTCCTTAGGCGGCTGGAGTTTTCTGTTTTGTCTACATGAAGAGGGAGTGGGTATGAGTTTGTCTGTGTGGTGATCAGTGTTGGAGAGCCACATAAGGGACTTAAAATGGTGCATGACTACAGTTTGTAGGCATGTGTTGCCAAAATGCTTGCATTTTCAGGAGATACAGTGACTCACCAATTTCCAACTCCATGATAAAAAAGTCAGATATTATTTTTCATGTTTTTATGCAGTTGCTCCAGAAACAATGAGGTTGTAATTGTATGATCGTCTCCTCACCCACCTGTCTTTGAATGTGTATTTGTCAGCTGGCCTCTGCTTTGGTAGATCAGTGGGAAGTGTCAGTCCGCTGGGATAGCCCTGGTTCTTTGTTCTCCTGCTGACAATGGAAGACTCACAGTCAGTCTAAGGGGAGATATTATGTCCCAGAGCAGTCTGGAAGAAGAAAAAAATACATACACATGCACTCACCCCTTCTCACATGGTACTCATGTGGGGCATGACCTCAATAAGGGTTTCTGTTGTATTAACTGAGCTTCGACACCATGTGCCGACCACTTTTAAAAACTGTAACAGTTAGGCCCGAGGTTCAAATAAAAGATTGGTTCAGCCAAGTTGAAAGAGTTGTCATAAATGGGTTTCATTGAGCACAGAGTGGTGTTCATGCTCAGCTGTGTGAAAGTTACCAAATAACATTTAACTGATATAAAATTAGTGCCTTTGCAGCTACACAAACAAACTTTGATCTTTGCTGATGCACAAAGTGTTTTTAAATGAACTTTCTCCTAACTGAATTCTCTTTTCTGTCTACACAGGTAAGGAAGAGCCGACCACCTACACCTGCACTACATGTAAGCAGTCATACGGCAGCGCCTGGTTCTTGCTGCAGCATGCCCAGAACACCCACGGCTTCCGTATCTACTTGGAGAGTGAACATGGCAGCCCTCTCACCCCACGCATGGGTGGGCCGTCCTCCCTGGGCGGTGGAGCAGACTGCCCCTCTCAGCCTCCCCTTCATGGCCTCCATCTGCCTCCCGATGCAAGCCCCTTCAACCTTCTTCGCATCCCTGGCTCGGGCTCAGGTGGAAGAGACAGTGTTGGAGTAGGGGGTGGAATTGGTGCCGGTGGCGCTGGCGGGGGCCATCATCAGCGTTTCCCTCCCACACCGCCCCTCTTCAGTCCCCCTCCAAGGAACCACCTGGATCCCCACCACCTGAGCCCAGAGGAGCTGGCGCTTGCAGCCCACCACCCGAGTGCCTTCGACAGGGTGCTGCGCCTCAATCCTCCTCTGCCCCTAGACCCCCCTCCGACAATGGACTTCTCACGGCGGCTAAGGGAACTAGCGGGCAACACCTCAGGGTCCACTCCTCCACTCTCCCCCAGTCGGCCTAGCCCCATGCAGCGCTTGCTCCAGCCATTCCAAACAGGAGGAGGAAGTGGAAGTGCAGGTGGTGCAGGGGGAAGTAAACCTCCATACCTTGCCACGCCACCTCCTCTTCCAGGCTCCATGCAGTCACCTGTGGGTTCCCAGACTACTCCTACAACCCCTCTCCCTTCAGCAGGGGTGACACCCTCCTCCACCACTCCCTTGAAATCAAAGTGTTGTGAGTTTTGTGGTAAGGCCTTCAAGTTCCAGAGTAATCTAATAGTGCACCGACGCAGCCACACAGGAGAGAAGCCGTACAAATGTCACCTGTGTGACCATGCTTGTACACAAGCGAGCAAACTGAAACGCCACATGAAGACACACATGCACAAGTCCACCTCACCAAACACAGGCAAGTCAGAAGACGGGCTCTCCACAGCCTCCTCCCCAGAGCCTGGAACCAGCGAGCACTTAGGCAGCGCGAGCAATGCCCTGAAGTCTGTGGTTGCCAAGCTGAAGAGTGAGAATAACCGCATGCTACGTGAGAATGGGGAAGAGGAGGAGGAGGAGGAAGAGGAAGAAGAGGAAGAGGAAGAAGAGGAGGAGGAGGAGGAGGAAGAAGAGGAGGGAGAGGAGGAGGAAGAGCAGAACGGAGAGAGGGCAGCACGAAGAAACAACAACAGCTATCACTTTGGTTTGAACCTCGAAGCAGCACGGCAGCATGAGAACAATGGAGGTTTGGGAAGCCGGCTTGGAGGAGTAGCTGATGAGGGGTCCATCCCTCGCTCGCTGCCCGAGGTGATGCAGGGGATGGGCCTGGCAGCGAGCATGCAGCACTTCAGCGAAGCCCTCAATGCACACAAAAGGAACGCCATGGCCCAGGAGAACCACTTACACCACCACCTCAATCGAGAGCATCATCACAATCGTGACATGTGCGACGGGAATTCCGTTTTGGAAAGTGATCGCGGGGAAGAGGGCTCTGTCTCCACGGTGAATGGACGGGGAGCATCTCCTAATGAATCTGCCTCTGTTGGCCTCTCTAAGAAACTGCTAATGGGTAGCCCCAGCCCACTCAGTCCCTTCTCCAAACGTATAAAGCTGGAAAAGGAGTACGACCTGCCCACTCCCACAATCCCTAACACAGAGAACGTCTACTCCCAATGGCTGGCTGGCTACGCCGCCTCGCGACAACTCAAGGACCCTTTTCTGAACTTTGGGGATTCCAGACAATCGCCCTTTGCCTCATCATCTGAGCATTCTTCAGAGAATGGCAGTCTGCGTTTCTCAACCCCACCAGGGGAACTGGATGGCGGGATGTCAGGCCGCAGCGGAACAGGCAGTGGGGGCAGCACACCACACCTTGGGGGTCCTGGGCGGCCCAGCTCCAAGGACGGCCGCAGGAGTGATACTTGTGAGTACTGCGGGAAGGTGTTCAAGAACTGCAGTAACCTGACAGTGCACCGGCGCAGCCACACAGGTGAAAGACCGTACAAGTGTGAGCTGTGCAACTATGCTTGTGCCCAGAGCTCCAAACTTACTCGCCACATGAAGACCCACGGTCAGGTGGGCAAAGACGTGTACAAGTGTGAAATTTGTCAGATGCCCTTCAGTGTCTACAGTACCTTGGAGAAACACATGAAAAAATGGCACAGTGACCGTCCTTTGAGTACCGAAATAAAATCAGAGTAGAAGGCCGAACAATGGGACCTTTTTCCCCCACAGCTATGTCCGCCATTAGTCCCCTGTTTATTCCCAGCCCCTTGTAGATTTGCCCCAACCCCTGACACTCCACTTTCACCAGTCTGGTGGAAGCTTAAGACCATGTGCTCTGCACCAGCACACCCCGTTTCCATTACCCATTGAATGCATGATCTGTATCGGGGCAATACTCTTGCATTGACGCAAAACTTCGAGCCTTTCTCTTGTGCAATAATTTACATGTTGTGTACAATTTTCTTTTATGAGTTTTTCTTTTTCCATTTTTAAGAATTAGTCAGCATGCATAGTATGTTTTTGCTAATCAAAAAAAGAAAAGAACTTGTCCCTGGTTGGTTAGTTGTTGAGTAAATGTGTTGCTGTTTTTCTCTTGTTCAGTTTTTTCTTTTTATTCTTCAAAAAGAGAAAAGACAAGAAAGATACATCCATGCTGCATACATTCTGTAACACATATCATGTACAGCTTTGTTTTGTAACATGGAAAGTGAACAGTCTTTGGTTTGACCCTCTTCTTACAACCCTGGAAATGCACTTATCTTGATCTTTCTAAAAGATGCCATGTTCACACAGGGTTTTAAAAAATCATGCATTGGCTTGATAACAAAAGAAAAAAAAAAAAAGTAACGACAGCCTTCAAATTTCTTTAAAAAAGACAAGGGTGTGCTTAGATTTCAATTTGTACTATCATTTGGTAGAAGAAAAAAAAAAGAGTGCCTTTGATATCTCCAGACTGCATTGGCCACAGTCTTATCTGGTATAAGCTTGGGGTCACATTAGAAAAAGCGAGAAGCCACCCAGGAAAGGTCCTTGCATCAAGCACCTGACCGCTCAAACGAACTGTGACAACTCATGATGAAAGGTCAGAGAGTTCTTGTTAGTCATCATTTAGCTACCTAATACATGTTCAGTAGGCTATCTTTAATATGTGGATTTCATGGCAAGCATGGTACAAGCAGTATTGTGTATATCTGAATTATTTGTAGTTTTGTTTCTGGTAAGGAGGTACTTTTGAGATAAGGTAATCTGTAATGTACAATCCTGAACTTGAGGGATACGGCGCATGGTGTAGAAGTGTCATGTATCTGCATTAGCACAAACCTACAACGCTGCTTCAATACGTCAGTGTGTGGAACAATGCATAAAGTAATATATGAGCCTCAAGTGGGGCTGTCTTTATTTGAGAGCATTGAAATAACTACAAGCTAGACAGACAGAAAGCTACACAGAACATGAAGCTAAGTATGTATTAAGGGGATCAGAGGCAATCTCTTTCACTTGACATTTCTACTATCAAAACAGGGTCATTAGCTGTGAATTGCAGAAAAAAAGACAGAAAGAAATTGCAAAAATGATCTGTATTCCAGGGCTCTTAAAAAGAGTAATGATTTTAATCAGTATGCATAGGCTAATGCAGGGCACATTTTTTTTCTTTGCTGTTGCTTTTCAACCCGAAAGTTTTTTTTTTTTTTTCCTCTCTCTTCTTGTGTTTCATTCAAGCTGATCATAGTAAAGCACTTGCAACTCTGCCTGAGAGCGAGTACCGACATCTATCTTGCATTTTCCCCACACTGATGCAACGTTGGTACATGTGTTAAGTTTCAAAGCTATATTGTCATTTATAGGACATGAAGTGCACTGTTTCAATTTTCCCAGTTTACAAGTTTACGCTGAAAGGGAAAACATTGTTGAAATGCTGTCAGAGGACGAGGTCCCATTGTTAAAAAGCAGTAAAAGATGAGACACATAATCTGTTGCCAGCTACTCCAGCCTCATGAACCTTAACCTTTGTACCCCTGCTGTTTCACCTTTGACCATTTGTCAATTTGTTACCCCTAAAAAAAAAAGCCCCAGTGCTGAGCCTGGGCTGACAATTCATCCTGTCTGCAAGGGCTGTAAATTAGAGGTTTAGTTACTTACAGTAAGTGAGTGCAGCTCCCATTGGCCGCAGCCGCACCAAACATCCACATTTTCTGTCTTCATCTCCACCTGAATAATCTATAGACCTTGCAGGCGAGACAGCAGACCCTCTATTGTTGCTTACACAAAAATCTGTTTTTGTATAAATCTTCCTTTAATTCAAGATATGAAAATAAACGTTTTTGCAAATAACACTCCACTATCTTTAAGGGGAAACTGTACTTAAGTTTTGTTGTTGTTTCTCTTTTCCTCAGCGTCTTGGTGGTGTTCAAGACTCGATCACAGTATATATAAAATGATGAAAAAAAAAAAGATGAAAAACAAACAAAAAAAATCTGTGATGGTTTTGTATCTTATTTTGCCTTGGCTCTTCACAACTCTTCAGGTTGAAATACAATTTGCATTGGGGAAAGGAATAAGATTATATATGAATATATAATAAAGAAGTTAAAATATAGGAAAATGCACACTCATGTCGATTCCTATGCTTAAACACATTTATGGTCTACTTTTTCTGTATTTCTAGAATTGTATTTGAATTCAATGTTCACTTAGAGTAGGCACTATAGTATTTATATTGAGGCTCGTATTTTTAACTGTTGCTTGTTCTCTCTAAAGGTATTTACCATACCTTTTTTTGGTAGTGGAAAAAAAATCCCAAGCTGCCACGGTATATTTTTTTAATTTGGCAGGATAATATAGTGCGAATTATTTGTATGTTTAAAGAAATAAAAGGAAAAACCCCATAAAAAAGCAGCTAAAGTATGTGGCATTGGGAGGTGTCGCGGGCCATCAGATGGCCGCCGCTCTGTTTCCAGTCCACAGAGGTGGTTGTACATATCTTCTTTGTTTTTTTTTGTTTTTTTTGTTTTTTTTTTTTTTGTTTGTTTGTTTTTATGGTTCGGACCTCCTCCCCCCCCTCCCTCCCCTCTCCCCGTCCTCTCCCTCCTCCTGCTGCCATTCTTGTATGCAGTAATGCAAGCTGACGTCGGCCTGTTCTGTTGTGTGCTTCTGTCTCTCTCACCCCTCCCACCTGACTACATTCCAACATCAAGACGAGAGGAAAGAAAAAAATCTCCATATGCAGTACATGGATTACGGGAAAAGCGTCAAAATAAAAACATTTAAAAAGAAATTTAATGTTTTGCAGTTTTTTTTCATTGCCAAATACTAAATGGTGCTTTATATTTAGATTGGGTAAACTTTCATATGCAAAGCATATTCAAAAATGACCCGGGGGACGTGGAGAAGCCTGCTTGAGTTGAGACTTTTTTGTAAATGGCAATGCGGAATATTTTGTTATCAGCCTTTTCTATTCCTATTCTGAGAGCTGTTTGTTGTAACTTGAACTTGAATTTTATCTTTTACTATGGGAGTCACTATTTATTATTACCAATATGCTCTGTTCAAAACGGAGACATGGAACGGATTCTTTTTGGTTCTTTTGATTTTTTATTTTTGGTTATAATATGATTTATTTTTTTCTTTTGTAATGGTGGCCGATGGTCATTGGACAAACCTAGCTCTTTAATTTCTGTTGTACTCGTTTGGGGTCTCTGTTCAGTTGTATTGGGAAAACCACTGTCTGTGTTTTCTGGCAGATGTCTGCATAATCCTGTTCACACACCCATTTTGTCCCTTTATCGAAAAACAATTAATAAAAAAAATGAAAGTATAACAGCACGTGTCGCTTATCTCCACTGTGTGTTTGTCAAGTTATCTCAACTGTGCGTGTGTATGTGTGTGTATGTGTGCATGAGTGTCTGTGACCCCAATCCAAAGGTCCACTGTAGTCAAAAAAAAGAAAAAAGTAGATCCTCACAGATTTATTTTCTGTTATTTTTCAATTATGATACTTTTTTTTCCCCAAACAGACTTTAAACATGTTGGAATGTCCAGACATGTATCCCCCCCACACACTCACACACACATGCTCGCACATACACACTCTTTTAAGTGTTATAGTGTGTGTCAGTGGTGACCTAAACTGGGTGTTTCTCTGACATGTTTCTCCTGAACTTGATGAACTTAACTCCCCCAGCCTCGCCCTAGCCTTTGGCCCTGTACTGTATGTACTTTAAGACCTATCTCTCTCTCTCTCTCTCTCTCTCTCTCTCTCTCTCTCTCTCTCTCTCTCTGTATGTGTGTGTGTGTGCGTGTGGCCATGAGAGTGTGTGCCATTGTCTTGCAAACCAGGGGTGAGGGGACAGGTGTGTATTTAAGTGAATTAAAACCTCAAACACCTGTGTTTTTGACTTTGACACTTTTGTCAGAACAGCACAGCTGGTTTTATGTGCATGCCTATGTCTACATCTGTGTGTGGGTGTTTGTGTGTGTGTTTCTGTGTGTGTGTGTGTGTGTGTGTGTGGGTGGGTGGGTGAATGTTGCTCCTTTACCATGTTCACCCAGTTTGCACGCTATCGCAAAGCACATATGTGTACTATGCATGTCACTCCTTAAAGTACAGTACACTATCTATCTGTTGCTGATAATGGATGTTCACTGTGTGCTTTTCTTCCCATGCATGCACACACACACACACTAACACACACACAAACACACCTACACAGTATATGGATTTGTATATGGTCCTCCTCTCACAGTATGTACTTAGGTAAATATCATTATGTCCCTCTGTTTGCTCAGTAGTCACAAAGCTTCATAAAGCTGTCAGGATCAATCAGCACCGCGTCCCTTCAACCACCGCACCCTTCTGCTCTCTTCACACACACATTAGTGTCTTTTTCAAAAGCATGAATACACCTGCAGATGTGAAAAGATATAGGCATGATCTTGATGTAAGGTAGTGCAAGGATGCAATAACTGGAACAGGCATGATGTCAATAAACAGACATCTTAACACACATTTTGATACTTTTATTTTCATTAACCAATGATTCTGCATCTTTTTTAAACTTACTTTAAACTATGCGTAAGAAAGATCACCGGCATATACCGGAAACAAAGGAAATGCATGCACACAAAAATATTCCGATTTATAACAGAATGTGCATGTAAACCCTTCACCTATTTCCATTTATTAATCACAATCAACTCTAAAGTTATCGCACATGAGGAAACACTTTGCCCCGCCTAAATGGTGCCTATGAAAGGTCAGGTGAATGGCCTTCATGAATATTCAATAACACCCAAAAACTAGCTTGAAAAAAAAATTCACTCAATGTGAGGTCAAGATATAAATAGGTGAGGTGGACGCACACCAAAGAGTCATATTTGGTTCCGATTTTTATTTGAAGACAAAACATAGCAGTGAAACTGTGAGGGCAGTGACAGTATGTTAACTCTTCGAGGTAGTCAACCCCGTCTTTATCTGTGTTTTTATTGAGAACACTGTTTCAGGTATGTCTGAGTTTATAACATGGTGTATTCTCTCTGGACCACTTTGGCTCCATGACACAGTATATGAAAATCAGAGGGGAAGGAGATCAGGTCTGTAGACTCTAACAGCTGAAAAAAGAAAAAGAAACACTTTCTCGTGTTACCGCTGAGGGGTCCCTGAGGAGGGCAGTGGAAAGTTCAACATTACATGCTAAGACTTTAACAGTCCTTCCCTCCCAAGTCTTGTAGTGTTGGTCCCCGGAAGTCTTTCTAAAACTGCAGTTTTACCCGGCGTGTGATGCACACTTCACCTGACTGAAAGGGTTGAAGATGATGACAGTGTAAACTTGAGGTGGTGAAAGTGAACGGTGAAGTCATAGAAAGCACAGCCTGCAGGACATTTGGTCCAACCTTCTGTTGTATCGGACAGCATCTCTTAATGTCAAATTTTAGTTTAGTTTTCAGTGATTAGTCAAGATTTATACAAGGGTGAACCCCCAAGACCTTGTTTTAAGCAATGACCTCTCACAAATCTGGCCCATGGTACTTTTCTACTGAGGCGTTTGGTTAGCTTCAGGATGCAACTGTACAAATCATTTGTGATCTCCCTCTTCCTTTCATATCTGTGACCCTCAGTACAGCTCAGTTAGTGTCTGTGTGTGAATTAAGCACCTGTTGATTTACCCCTTACAGCCATATAACACACAATATTATGTCCTGGTAAGAATAAAAACATATATAAAAGGGATGGATTGGTCAAATAAAATCAGGAAAAGAAAGATATAACTCAGTACAATCACTCCCTCTTCCTCCTCTTTCTCAATCATTGCAAGTTCAGCATTGGATTTGTACACTTGGTACAACAGGAGAGGGGCAAAATCTAAGAAATATAGGTCTGCAATTTGGGTATCTTTCCCAAGTTTTGATTCTCCAAATGCACAAGCTTTGAAGCATGCTGTACCGATCTCGACCCCTTGGTGGAAAAACACTTGAGAACCACTGGCTCTCTGGAGATTTATTGCTGCTGGAGGTTTAGGTGTGCTGGACAATGAAGCACCATAAGACTTTATTTTCCTCCTTAGGACAACAAGTGGCGGCAGTTTCCTTTTACTCCCTGTTAAACAATGCAACGAGCCACCAGCAGCACCGCCCGGGCAAGTAAAACAAATCAGCACCATATTTTTTTTCCACTTCCTCTCTCTCTTCCTCTGTGCGTTTTCTCTCCCCCTCTCTCTCTGTGATAAATTCATTGTGTTATAAACCCGTGAAGCATTCAGGCCTTTTCTGCTTTACTGGGGCTCTCCTGTGCTGGTGTATGTGAAAAACATAATGCATTTGTCACTGTTATAAAATCTATACAACCATGACCTGCAGTCCCCCATAAACTCTCATGGATTTGTCTTTGGCCTGCAGGGTTTTAACAATAAAAGATCCTCCAAAGAGAAAGCATGTTTTCACACTGCTTTTGTCACTGTATGGCCTTGGCTCAACAGTGCTCCAATGGAAGCAAGATAAAGGAAAGGAATGCATGTGTGTGTATGTGTGAGTGTGTGTGTTTTTTTTTTGTCTGTCTTCCTTCTTTCTGAGTGTGCTTTGGTATCTGTGCACATACGAGAAGAAAAGGCGTATTTTGTCTTGACCAGCCTCCGTCTGCCATACTGAGGAGTAGCTACTTTATATGTATTGAGCGGTTTAATATACGCTGACCACTGTGGTCTATAGGAACCGACAGCAAAGTAAATGCCTCTTACTGTAATGGACCATCATTGAACAGTACTTAGTGCATAGTATAATGGCCACAAGGCCAGTACAGCATGAGAAAAATCCAATCAAAGCCAGTAAAGGGATAATGCATGGACACTGACCACCTTTAACCACAACACACTCAAAACCCTGTGTAGGAGTTACAGTGTAATTCAATGGGTTAACATCCACATAATAAAACTATGTAAGTACAGGAGCTGATACATCCAGGTAAATACTTTTTAAATATCTGATCAGGCATGAGTTCATGCCAATTTGGTAACATGACCAGTTCTATGTCTAAAGCTCGTAAAAAGGGTCTTCAAAAAATCATAAATTATACTCTTCAATCTTTAAAACCTCGACTATTTCATCAAAAGTGACCTTGGTGCTCTGGCTGCTGATACAAAACCATCAGGCGGGAATCTAAGAGTCATATTTGATTGTAATCCTGTCCTTTGAAATACAAACAAAAAAGTTCTACAGACCTGTTTCTTCCAATTACTCACTCCAAAATTAAACCAACACTTTCACAATCAGACCTTGAAAGGAATGACCCTTACACACCTCTTCTCCAGACTGAACTGCTGTGATTCACTCCCAGCTGGAAATAGTCATAAAACAGTCTCTCCACTCCAACTACAAGTGCAGAATGTAGTAGCTAGGCATCTCAATGGTATCAATCAATCAATTAATCAATACAATGCCAATAAATAGCAAATGTTATCTGAAGATGCTTTACAAAAGAGCAGGTACAGTCCACGCTCTTCATGATATTCATAAAAACCCATGTTGAATAGGAAAGCTGTTGAGGGACCTAAAATTGGGAAGGCTCACAGCATGTGGGTTTACTGTGAGGCCAACCTGCATCCAGTTGTTTGTAATCTTGATGTGTTTGGGTTTTTGATTTGAAATTTTTTTGATTTTGCTTGTGTGTTAAAGTCATAGACTGTATGTAGAATTTCGCAGTCTGCCTCCTCGCTGGGTGAAGCTATCCCAAGAACAGCACCCTCTGGTGACAGGCTGCAGTATAGGTCATAAATCCCGCCTCCTGCAGCCATCCAAGTTATTAGAGGGTTCATGTTTTCTATGACTGACACTTGATACAGCCTATGGGCGTTGGAAAGTTGCATAGGACATCCAGGGGGTATACCAGTGGACAGGGGCTGACTGGGACCATAATTCAGGCCAGGAGTTTGACTCTATCCAGGCCAGGCCAATACGCATTGACGCAGAAATGCCGAGAGAGGCATAAAACTTGGATTAGCACTAGCATCGTAGCCGTCTCGGTGTCGGTCGGTGACCTTATTAAACTCAAAACAATCACATCTTAGAGCGACAGCATGAAAAACACTTACAGACGTTGCCTCAGGGGGAGGACGAGAAAGAAACACGATCACCTCGTGAGCGGAGCAGACAACAATGCTCGATCAGCGCATCTGCAGCCGATCACCTCACAGCTCTACTTCCGATCGCACCAGCTAGGTATTGTGACAGTAACAGACATAAATTTATTAAATCCTTCTGCTGCTGGCCTGGCCTGCTTCCAAGTTCAGTGGCCAGCCTGCACACACACACACACACACACAATTTTTTACACACAATTTATTTTCTTTTTTGGGAGGGCAGGCGACGCCAGGCCACCAGGAATCGGCCTGGTGATCCCAATGGTCCAGTCCAGCACTGCCGGTGGAAGGCAGAACCAAGTTGTCCATAGTATATACAGTCCATGGTTAAAGTACTGTCAAAGTAATCTTTTAGGGTGCTGTGTGAATTGATTTATTATTTATATAAATATAAATATTAATACGATATCATTATCTAAAATAGGAAATGTAAAAGGAGACAAAACAAAGTATCAGATTTACTTCCTTCGTCATGTGGGTCTAAGTTCATCATCATTTGATTTGGTCATGGTTACACACCATCAATGAGGCTCATTACAAGGAGCAACGTGACATTTCACAAGATGAGGCAAGATAACAAACCGGCCAAAAGCCTGATTATCCAAAAACTCAACTTTTACCTGACACTAGACTGTGTGTGTGTACAACTGTACAGCAATCTATCGAGGTTATGCACCTTTGTCAAATATTCCATTATTTTTATTTCTATTTTTACATCAATAACCAGATTGTAAAAACTCCTTAATTATACATGTGATTTCAGGAGAGAAATATGAGACTTGATCACGAAAGGACTGAGATTGGGACTTTATAGTTTTCTTGAAAAATCATCAGAGCTGAAGTTTTCAGAAGTGGTGTGAAAAACCTGTAACCCTGAATGTTGTTGACAGATTATCCAATTCTGTTGTATAATGGTTTTAGAAAGCACTATGAAGGTAATCAAAAAGTCTGTAATAAAATAAATACTTGTGCATAAAAGCTTGCTCGAACACCACAGCCTGCTTTTCATGCTGGACCATTTATGTCACTGTAGCCAGCTGCCCTTTTCAGTCCCAACACTCATGAAGCTACTGTATTTTTCTTTCAATGTCTGTGTACATTAAAAAGAAACTCTATGTAGTGTTTGCAACCACAGTGCATCACCAAATTAGGTATTATTTCATATGAGGCAAAGAAGCCAAAATGCTGCAGGAGGAGACAGACCTCTCCTGTCCACAGCTTCTGTTTGCAGGTCAATTTGATTCAATCAACTAAGAGCAGGTCAAGCGAGAGTCTAACAGGTGGGAAGATGTAATAATGGGAAGTTATGAAAGAGATAACAGGAGGTCAGAGTTTATGTGTTTACTGGTCCACTTTTTATCTGACTTTTCTGTATGTTATGTCATGGTGCGCAGACTGTTGTGGCTATCCAAGAACACACTGCACTTCTGGTGAGCCTTTAAATCGTTTCTTTGACTGAACTGAAGTGCTCTGACTGACCTCCTATCGAAAGTTTTAAGGATTTACACATTTTAAACCTGTTGTCTTTCCTTCTTAGGGATGAGCCTCTTTGGAGTGTCTTTTTAGATACTAAGTCATGTTGCCAACCTGTTGCACATTATTGTAATTAGTTGATTGATATTCTTCTTTTTGTTTTTTTCAGTCTTAGTCGCACTTCCAGAGTTTTTTGTCCCGACTTTTTTGAAACTCTACTGTTGTTGGATGAAAAATGAGGAGATTTAAAAAGACAAAAAAGGGTTAAAAAGTTTCAATTATCAACTTCCGATATGTTGTGAAAGCTTCAAATGATTTACAAACTATCAAAATGTATTTTTAGCAGTAACCCATCTTTATTGGATTTTGGATCAGAGATTTAAAATGTTCCACTTTACTCCATTTCACTGTTTGCAGTACTATAGTGATAATATTCTCCCAATCCCCAGATTTTTTAAAATCAGCGGTAAGAGTAGATGTTATACAACCCCCATCCCACACAACCCCATCCCAGCTCACACACACAAAGCTAAGCTGAGGCATGAGAGGTCAAAGTCTATTGATAGACCATCAGGGCTGGAATGCAAGGTGAGGAAAAGGCAAATCAAACAGAGCAGTGTGTAGATATGCTGCAAGTCCATGTGTCCGTTCCTCCCCTCCTGAACTGTGACACATTTATTTAATGGCATTTCTCTAAAACACTGAACATATTTGTGACAGAAAGTATCTTGGGTCAAGAAGAAAGGGCGGAGGAGGGGTCTGTTTAGCCCTGTGCAGGGTCATGAGGTCAGGGAGTAGGCTTAGAGGGAGAAAACAAAGCCCCCCCCTCCCTCCGCTTTCTTCCCCTTTCATTCCTTCACTCTTTCACTTCACTGCGAACTCAGTCTGAAGTTCAAATTCATTGTCAAAGTGAATGAATGAGAGACTGAATGAATGGGGGTGGGGTGGGGGAGGGTCAGCGAGGGAGGAGCAGAGCAACATGTGTCAAACGTGCATGCTCCATGTATGTGAGGGTATGGTTTTATAAAGATTACCTGGATTTGACTCTTATCAAAGTCTTAGATATTTAATAATGAACCAACAGTTTGAACTTTGATGTTGTTAAATTCTTTAGATTACATGTAACAAGGTGCTGTGCAGGTTTTGTAGGCAGTGTTAAAGAAACAGTCAGTGTCGCAGTAAAACTTCTTTGCAGTTTTCAGAGAAATATCCCTCAGTTTAGTGTAAAATCACAATTTAGTCAGTTAACACAAAACCCCTTTGAATTTTACAGCTGTCCCGTCCATGATACAACTCTCTACTTCATCAGCACATCATAAGAGCCTTATGATCTCCTGCTCCAACTGTGATAAATGTCAGACAACTTCAGTGCCTTTATAAACAGTTTATCATGTCTTAAGGCTTGGCAATTTGAGGACAGTGTCATCTGTTGGTCATTCCTCCTGGGTTTACTGCTGATAAAACAAAGAGAGCATTAAAGCAAGTGCAGCTTGATAATCTGTTTCTTTGAAACTGCGGCTGAATGATGAAAAAAGGAAAATCAATCCTCAACTGTGCAAGATGAAGTTCTTTGTTATATCATCCTCTCTGACTGCGTTTTAACCCCCTGACCTTATAGCGCCGACCAGTGACGGCAGATTGCTCTGAGTGCCGTGCCGTGCCTGGATCCTCCAGGGTCATGAAGGGCCTCTCTCTGATCTCTGACCCCAGAAAGAGGCCTCTCGGCCTGGCCAGGCCAACGGAAAATCCCTGGGGCCTGAGCTGGATAAAAGGATGTCCAGGAAAGACATGGATTATCAGTGTGCATGTGGAGGATATGTGTGTGTGTGTGTGAGTGTGTGTATGTGTGTGTGTATATGTGTTACGGCATGCCCTGGAGACCAAGTTCAGGACACACACTCTAAAACGCACACTTACACATATGCACCAGGGTTATTGAGGTTAATTGCAGCTACACAGATGAGGGGGTTGGGTCACCTTTGGCGGAAAAGAGTGTGTGTGAGTTTCATGTATGTGTGCACATGCGTATGTAAGTGTGTGTGTGTGTGTGTGTGTGAAAGAATGAGTGAGAGAAAGAGAAAGAGAGAGAAAGACCTCTGCACAAATTTAAGATGATATCATGTGTGTGCGTGTGGGAAAGAAACAGATAGAGACACATGTGGATAAGGGCACATTGTGTGTCCGTTGTTATGTCTGCAACAGACATGTATACATTTCTGTGACCACTCTGCAACACACCACACACACACATGGACACACACACTTCCACCCTCTCTTTTAATCTCACCCTCACCTTTTCCTCCCGCGTTCTCATGTGTATGTAAGTGTGAAAGGTCAAAGGTCAAGCTGTGGGTTTGAGGCTCAGATTTCACATGACTGAACACCTTTGTGGCTCGCTGCAGGGGGAAGACTGAGCGTGTGTGAGCGCAGGGTGTAGAGGGGATCTGTGTTGTGTGTTGTGTCTAGTTCACACAGGTTGAGGGTTTGATGTCTGCTGAACATCGTGTGACCGAACGGAGACGTTTCAAAGATGCCTCGAACACAAAATACTCTGATTTTCTTCACCACAGCAGCTTCAGGGGGAGTCGGCTGGTAAATATCAGGAGTGATTCTGGCCTCACCCTGCCTTTAGGAAAGATTTTAATTAATCCGGCTCTTCAAGTACTTTATTTTCTTTTTCAGTAGTTTGTTTTTGCCATGAGAGATTTTGAAGGTCTCACTGAAAATTTTACTTTGTATGAGGAGTTTTTGTTTTGAGGACAGCCCTAATCTGGTGCTGGGGATGCCCAAAAGGTCAAGATGAAACTGAGTGTCCATCAGATGATTTTAGGGATAAAATAAAAACAGGAGGCATCTTTGCTCAAAATGTTAACCTTGAATAATGCTGTTGGACGTTTAACCATTTACATAAACAGAAGTTGGTGTAGAGATGTCACAGTGCTGAAGAAATCAGGCAGAGACTCTTTTTAAACTGTAAACTGTTTTATTCACTGTGGGTGTTCTCCCTGTTCGTACTGGTCAGTGTTTTCATCCCACCTCAAGCCTGTGAAATGGAGGCGCTACAACAGCTGGCTGACCAGATAACAGACATTGTTACGGCCTCCTTGACCAAACACTCAATCAAACCAAAAGCTCGTAAAAGAGACCATAACACATAAATAAAAGGACACCACACACAAATTAAAAGGTTAACCCCAAAGGCTTTATTAAATCCAAAAGTGCATCAAATAAGTATGGGCAAAAAAGGAGTTGGAGACCCTGGTCGAAAGGAGCAAAAAGGGAAATGTGGTGGCCCATTCACGCAATGGACGTCACCCCCTTCTAACTAAACAACAACTGGAATCTAGTTCAAAGGGATATTCTGGTGTAAAATTAATTTAGGGTCAAACACACCGTATCACCGAGTTAGAATGTTGCCGACCGCTTGCTTCTCTAGTCACACCAACTTTCGTAACAACCACAGGATATCAATACACAGCCGTCTCAGGAGCAACGCGCTCAACCAAAAAGCCACTCTACAGCCACAAATAATGCTCAGAACAGCACCTAACTTCTTTTTCAACTAGCGTGTTATGTTGTATGATCATTTCTTCATGGACATACAATCAGACCAAGACACTGCTGCTTGTGAATGCGTGTGTGTGTGTGTGTGTGTGTGTGTGTGTGTGTGTGTGTGTGCCTTCCTTCTCTGCCTTCCACACTGCCCTTCCTGCACCTCTAAATCCCCTCCTCCTCCTCCCTGAGCGCAAATTGCACTCAGGTGTGCAGCAGGCAGACGGAGGAGGGCCACCAGAGACAGACGGAGAGAGAAAGGGAGCAACCATGGCATTCCTGGCCACATGTAACAGACATGGAGAAAAAAACACCTGGACTCCCTGCTCATCCTTCTCAGGGATTTTAACAGAGCCAATCTCAGGCAGGAGCTACATAAATACAGACAGTATAATATGTGTCCCACCATGGACACCAACACCCTGGACCACTGCTACTCTGCTACTCTGGGACACTCTGATCACTGTCTGGTCCATCTCATCCCGATCTTCAGGCAGAAATCAAAAACTGCCAAACCTGTGAGGACTGTTGAGAAATGGACAGAAAAGTCAAAGTAGGAGCTTTTGTAATTTTCCTAACATTTCACGTTTAATGTTTTTACATAGAGGGCAAAGTTAACCTGAGTCCATGTGAATCTTGGGAGGCTGACTTTATCTTTTTAACTTCAGACAGAAAGAAAAGAGGTCAAACTGCTGTGTTAAGCTCTAAATCCACTCACCCAAATGGATCATCGACCAAACTTAGCTGTACGTCTTGGCCAGGATGGGGTTAAAGTAGTGCGTTCCTACTTTTCTCTTCTCCCCTGAAGCAGTGCGAGGATTTGTCTTCTCAACAAGCTCTATTTTTGACTTGCAGGTGGAGGGTGAACCTGATGAGGTGGCTTTTTCTCTTTCTGGGTCAGAGAGGAGAAAGAAAAGAGAAAGGGAACGAGGACGAGAGAGAGAAAGATGCATACTGTAAAAAAGGTCAAGCTCATTAAATCACTTAGAGTCGGACACGCATGCCAACACACACAACTGACAGAGAACACAACAAGCTGTGGGGTTATGTCAGGAGTAATTGGTTACACAGGTTTGAACTCATTTGCAATACTTCAATCAAAGAACACTTTACAGGGTTCTGGTCAATATTTCTGCCACAGGTTGACTTTGAATCTACAAGAAAATCTGGTGTCCTGCAGGTGAAAACAAGCTGATGTCTTCATTTGTGTAATAGTAACAGCTAATGTGTGTGTGCAGCTCTGACCACAGAATAAGCAACGACAAGGGCCGTGTCAGGAATCGACTCCTCACTTAACACAGAGCTATATTCATCTCCTGGTACTTTAATCAAATGTCCTAAAATGACACTTTCTGTTAAGTATCCCGCAATGCAAAGTGTCACATTTTTCACTTAGAGCCATGTGAAACTACCACTGTCGGTGATGACACAAAATGATGGTGATTCACGAGTGTCCAAAATCCCAATTTATTGCTCATTATTTGAGTGTCTGTTATATAAGGAGTGATGCACAGAGTGATTTTAGACTCAGCCTACAGCAGAGAGCGATCTGGAAAATCCAAATTAGAGAGAAAACAAAAAGGGAAGTGGTAAGTTGAACTTCCTCTGTGACATTTAAAAGGGTTTGACCAGACTAATACAGCCAAGTAGACATTTAAAAAGTTTTAAGAAATACCATGAGGAGTTTTAACAGGCTCTGCCGGTGAATAACGGAAAAGGATAGAGCAGTATGGCGACAATTTATTTTAAATCCCAGATAGTCAAATAAAGTGGCTTAGGCGATTTAAAACAAGTTGCTTCTTAAACCTTTCTAGTGTCAAAAGCATCCTCTGGTTAGACGGATGTAGTATGTCCCATCGAGAAATGATCATAAATGTTCTTCCTTGAGCTACGTCACCCCACTGTAGTCCGTAATGGACTGGCCCGAGGTCTCGCTACAAACAAGCGGCTGCTGGAAGAGGGTGGGTGATTTGTGTTTAGTCTCTTTGCTAAAGAAATCAGGCAAAGTTAAAAAGATGTTTGGTGGCTGGTGCTGTGGCTGGGACCCTGTACTGCCGATGAAGTTAGGTGCTGTTCTGAACATTATTTGTGGCTTTAGAGTGGCTTTTTGGTTGAGACGGCTGTGTATTGCTGTCCTGCGGTTGTTACTTAAGTTGTTATAACTAGAGAAGCAAGCGGTCGGCAACATTCATCTCTACTGGGTGTCTAACTCGGTGTTAAGATGTGTTTGACCCTAAATTAATTTAACGCCAGAATATCCCTTTAATACATTTGTTCTGTATGACTTCCAGGTCAAAGTCCGGTGTGTCATCTGTGGAGCATAAACTAGAGACTTACAAAGGCCTGCCATCAGATCTGTGTTTGGTTTAATCAGGTTCTGCTTTTGGTCTTGTCTTTTCTCCTTTCTAATCACATATTGAAAAGGTCAAGAGGTTTTTTGCTACAGTTGCAAATCAAAAATAAAGTCACTTAATCTCTTTCTTTCACCATACTAAACCAGAAATAAAAAGTATGGAAATGAACATTTTCATCACTGTCTAACTTTCATTGATATTACACACACCTTTCTGTGTATTACTTGTGAAGGGGTTTACCTGGTGTTAGCCCCTGCCATTTGGACTTCCTAATTGCTTTAAATGGGTTTCGACCAAACAGAGTCAAGTATTTATGAAATAACATCTATTAATATTGCAAAACTTGTAAACTTTACATCTTGAATGGAGGAGCCATTGTCTTCTGAGAGAGTCTCATGTTTGCTCAAGCTTTTTATCACCCAACCCTATCAAAACCACTGTCACATTCCTCACCTAGTACATTTTTAGAGTGTTAAAACCCTGAGTGTGTTTCATACAAACAATTTTTACAGTGACAAAGACACAGGGATAGTGAAAGAGAGAGAGAGAGAATGGAGGCGTAGATGTATGATATGCTACCTGTCCTATCCCCTCCGGCTGGTTTGGTTCCAAATGTTCACACACACACACACACACACACACACACACACACACACACACACACACACACACACACACACACACACACACACACACATACCTGGCTGTGTGCCACTTGTCTCTTTGTGTTCCTAGCAACTGTCACAAAGACACACAAATACACACACTGACATGCAGATACATAACACACTATGCCCCAGAGCCCTGGTCATATGATTGACCTGTTCTACTTGCCCTTCTGTATAACTTTGCACACACACAAGATCTGACATGTAGGGTCTATACACACACACACATACACACACACACACACACACACACACACACACACACACACACACACACACACACACACACACACACACACACACACACATACACAGATGCACACCTGTTATCAACCACGCCCACAGGTGAGCAAGATGTTGAGTGATAGTGTGGGGAAACTCAGAAGCTCTCAGTAGAATAAACTCACACTCTGCACACAGCTACTGTAGATCACAGTAAGTCAAAACGCTGACCTGATTGTGGCAACTAAGTTTGATTTTAGTCCTTAAATCACGTATTCAAGTGTTTTTGACCAGGTATCAATCAATATGCAGCTACATATATTATTATTTTATTAATTGTATATTCACAACTTGCTAATTACTACCAAGCTCTCTTACTCATTTCCTGGTCAGGCAAGTTTTTTTTGGGCACTCTAAAAAGGACTGAAATTCCATTATTGCTTTTTTATGATATCCACAAGCAAACAAGACCATCAGCACCGACCACTAACTTTAAACAGAAGACAAATGGTGTGCTGTTAGCTTGGGATAGTAAGGGATACAAACTTTACTGTAAATAATCAGATCAAACTGGTTTTTTTTTTCGTGAAAAAAGTGACCCACTTCCTTCACTGTGCGTTATCTGCTATGAATTCCTGTTAATACAAGACAAGGCATTTGAACTCCAAGTCATCCCCTCTGATTATTTCTCAAGATGGCAAAAGTCCTCTTACCACATTAGCTGTTTACATGCACCTCACTGACTGCTCTTACAGAATTGATTCAGTTTTATCAGTTATGAAGTCCCAGCGCGCAAGATCATTATTAGTCTCTTAATTTACCTGGAGGGCAAACAACTTTAGATTCCAATCACCAGCAGATGAACTAAGAGGAGAGATGGAAAACAGCACAGAAACTAGTGAGCGCTAAGGGATGTTACGACGCACAAGGAACTGAATGAAAGAGACTTCTAGCAAATTGAAGAAAAACACACAATGTAACCACAAACCACAGCATGGTATGAATTTTGGCAGTGTTACAAGACTGGTTGAGTGAGAAGAAAATGTCAACAGACTTCAAAAGTTATCTCGAGGGACCTTGACCAGGTGTGTCTGTTGTTTTACCAATCTCCTAAGAATGAAACTAAAGGGACTGAAAAACAAAGGTGATGCCATCCCTAACCCTAACCTTAACACCGGGGCACCAATTTGGCAAAGAGTACACGTTTGACCACTGACGTTAAAGAAACACAACGGTGCTCCATTCCTGTGTATATATGTTTTAATCTTTAGATATAATCACATTAGATAAGTGACATTTCAGTCTGTCATACTTTTTTTGAGGAAGAAGACTTATATAAAGTAAAAATGAGTGACAATGAAATGCTTACAACACAGTCCAAAAATTTAACTTGAAAATGTCTTGCATCTGAAAAGGAGCCAATCATAGTCTAGGATTTTTTTTTAGCACTTGGCCAATCCAGTGTAAAAGCAGATCCCTGTATTATTCAATGTCATAAGAGCGTGAACCTGCAACAGTTCGAATCACCTTCACAGGGTCAATTCAGTACATTTACACATAGTAGTCATTCCAGGGTATATTTGCGTGTGTAAGTGTTATTGTTGGCATCAGTTTAGAGATCTGTGACAGCTTCACTCTGAGAGTCTAAGATTCCACTCTGGACCTCATGCTGAAACTTGTTATGTTGGAGTTCTATAGACAGGTGTGCACCGATCAAATGCACACACACACACACACACACACACACACACACACACACACACACACACACACACACACACACACACACACACACACGATGTGAACTTTGATAGACCTTTTTTCCTCTCTCAGTGTAAATCCGCATTTCCTCTGCTTTCATGTCATCTTTCTTTTCATCCATTTCTTTGGCCTGTTAAAACATTGAACAAAAGTAATGATGGATTGATGGCAGCAGAGCTGATGATATTTGTTTTATATTTTTTTTAATCTTTGTGTGTGACTAAGTGTGTATTCATTGATTTCAGATAAGTTGAGGCTGGCTTGAGTAAACTAAGCATCCTGTAATAACTGTTATCAGTTTGAGCCTTTTTATATAAGACCTGAGTGACTGTGCTGTTATACTCAGTAATGATTGTGGTTAGGTCATGCACAAGTAAATACACAGTAGTGTACGTACTTCATATTATCAATATCTTTATGCTTTTTACATGTCAAGCCACACAAAAAGACACTTGTTCAAACGCAGCTGCCTCTAGCATTTAAATCAGCCTTTACCTGGTAATCCCAAGTGGGCTAACGTGACTACAAATGCAATTGTTTTTGAGGCAACGATCTACAACCATATTCAGTTGGTGAAAACACAGGATTTAAACACATGTTAAGGATGATCGAGCCCCGCAGTTCCAGGTATTAGGTGCTGAAAACATAAAACCCTTCATGCCCAGTTCGGTTCTTTGGGGACAACTAACCGTAGAACATCCATAGAGCTGAGATTTGAACTTCCAGGTTTGTTAATTTGGATATTCAAGTGTGTCTTTGGGCTTTGAAATGGTTTGTTTAGACTTGGGCTGTCATAATATACTAGTATTGACGGTAACTACCTCTTATAATACTATTAAAATATTTAACTTTGATAACATGTTACAAACAAGCAAATGGTAATAAGGAGGTCCTTATTGCTGGTGGCCTTTTACAGAAGCAGCAGACCACTTATGAAATGACTTTGGCAGGCTCTCTAAGAGATGATTCAGCACTTTTAAAAACTGAAATTATTTGATTTTTTTCAACACTTAATGCAACATCAGAGCTTTGCCTCTTCAGGCTACTAATCAATTGAACATTTTGATACTTTATTACCATCCTTTTAGCTTTTTGTAACTTGCGATACACTGACAGTAGCCCATATGTCCAAATTAAAGCGTAGTTTTACAATGTAGGATTGAGCAACCTAAAAAACAAAACAGAATTCAACATAAATGAACAAGAATCTGTTTGGCAAGACCCACGTTACCATCAAACTAAAATGAGTAAAACAGAATAACATGAAGCAACTCAAGCAACTATTATTAACTGAGTAAAATCCTCCTAGACAACAATTTAAGGGGTGTTTCTGAGGGGTGGACAAATGCTAAAACTGATAAAACCAGTGACAGAGCTGTGTGTGTGTGTGTGTGTGTGTGTGTGTGTGTGTGTGTGTGTGTGTGTGTGTGTGTGTGTGTGTGTGTGTAGATGTGTTTACATATCTGTGTGTGTGTGTTTCAGCAGTGGTCTCAGTGTCCTGGGGGCTGTGGAGGTTTGAATGTCAGTTTCTCTAATAACGGGAATCGGTGAAAAGGTCAGCCCCAGTCGCCTGACCACACTGAGGGGATGGTGTGAGTGTGTGTGTCCTCATGTGTGTAACAGAATGTGTGCCAACATGTTTCATATTCTTATTTGTGTTTGAGTGTGAAAAGGTGTGTGTGTTTCTGTGAGTGTGTGTGTGTGTGTGTGGGCGGCGAAGGGGGCGTCGGCCAGGCCTGGGGCAGAAATTGATTCTCCGTTGAAGGAGAGGAAATGAGGAGAAAAAGAAAAATGGTAGGAGGTCGCGGGTGTTAGACGAGCAGGAAGATATAAAGAGAAGAATAAAAGGGGGAGTGGTCGGAGGAGGAGGTGGAGGAAGAGAAAGAGAAGAAGTAGAAACCAGGTGTGAAAGAAGAGGAGACACAATTGAGGATGAGGAGGACATGAGTTAAAAGGGGTGGAAGTGTCTAGAAGAGAAGAGAAAGGAAGAGAAGATAAACTGTAAGAATCATCATGGTGAGGAGCAGGAGATGGAGAAAGGAAAGGTCGCAATCAAGGGAGAAAAAAGTCGAGACATGAGCTGAGGAGATGGAAGAGGGGTGGACTGAGGAAGGATGGCTCGATCTGGACCTCAATCCTGAACCAGAGCACTGAAGTCTCATGGACTTTTAAGACTTGTATACATGCAATCTCTGGGAAAGAAATGAGGGATCGGACACAGTATTAGGCACCACAGACTGCCTGCAAAAAAACGTGTGGTCAAATAAGGGCCTGTGTCCACTGGCAGAATTTCATTTGCAACAGTAGCGTCTGTTTTCCTTTACAAAACCAGTGCAGTTTTGCATTTTCAGAGCCATGTGTACCTAGTGCAAAAATGCCCTCAGCATCAACAATATTGTGTCAGCATGTTTACTGAAAAGATTTAACTTTTGCAGCGATAAGTGCCTGTGAAGGAAATCTGAAATCAAACATTACCAGTAAAAAGTCGGTCTGTAAAAATTATTACTGCAGCTCTTGTGGGGTGTTCCTGGTCTGCAGTGGACAGTATCTCTCAGACATGGTCCAAGGAATGGCCAACCAGTGAACAAACAGCAGAAGTTCCCATCCTGGAAGACAGATTATGAAGTTTGCAGAAGATGTGAAGAGAAAAATCCAAAGCTAAGGACATCAGTTAGCACCCAGAACATCCTTTGAACACTAAGTTTGAGCTCCTGCCCTCTGGCAGGACATATAGACTCCCAAAGTTTAAAGCCAACAGGCAAAGGAACTTTTTACAACTCAAGCCATCACATAACTAAATCTTTAAAAGATGATCTGGTATGAAACACTCTATTTCAACAACTGGTCGCTGTTAATGGGAAAGATTTTTCCTTTCAGTTGTACTTTGACAGCCCCTCTGAGTGATTTGTGTATCATGGCAGATGTTCTTAATGTCTCTGTGTTTTATGGTTTTACCTGGTTGCAAATCAGATTTCCCTCAGGAGACAATACAGATAAGTGAAGTAAGGTGAAGCATGGGCAGCACATGTGTGGGGAGCAAAATCTAGATCATATGCCTGATTAATCAGAAGAACTTCTGGAGCTCAAACTGCTGAACCAGCAGGTTAAAGCTGTCAGGACACAGACACAAAGTTTTCTATGTAGACTTTGACTGACCATGGAAGAAGATGGCCTGGAAGAACATGACTTGGAAGTGTTGACTTAGGACCATAAAGTCTGTTTAGAAAGTCTTGATCAGGGACCAAATGTTTACGTGAATGCCCATCCACACTGACCCCAGCCCATCTTCACCCACGCTTTTTAATGGAGGCTAGCAGGAACAAGGTATGGCGACCATATCTAACCAATTGCGTTGACACATGCAACCCACCAGTAAATTGTATAGGTTGCAGAGCATGTATGAGGAGGGTTAAAGAAAGGACAGCGGCCAGTCAGAGCCTCCCCCCTCAGGACCTCATGCTATTCAGAGAAACCCTCTCTTCCTCAGGGAGAAATCCAGCACAGTGGAGCTTGTGAGGATCTTCACACTTTGTCAGAGAAAGGCTTGGCTTTAGGAAGTTATGAGGGACAGAGACATACAGTGACTACCATTGAAGACTGAGGAAATTTTATTTAATTCCTGTATTATCAGATATGTCACTCTCAGATTTGACCTCAGGCCTCTGAAGTAAAAACAGAAATAAAGGACTCTGTAGTTCTCTATCTGATCGTTGGTTTTGCAGCAAAGAGGAGGCTTTGAGCAGAGTTTAGATTCCTGAAGTTAGTGTTGAAATTTATGATCATTTTCCATTTATTTAGATAAGAAAGTCATTTGATTATTCTTGGAAGTAATTTTGTGATCACAAGACCATTTTCTCAGAATTGATTTTCCGTGTTAAATGTCTATCAGAGCTGTTCAAGTTTGAGCTTCTTAGGTAAATAAGTCGAACTTCTTGCATCGCTGAATGTTGTGGTTAGGAAGTTAAAAGCAGATCGGGCAAAAAATGTTTTCTCCTCATATTTCTGTCTTTCTTTGATGGATAATAAAGATCCCACTGGGGTCAATCTCTCCTTCTGCCTGACTGTGTTTGCAGAAAGATTTCGTTGCCCTACACAAGTTAAACGGTCTCATTCTTGTACAACATCAGCCAGGATGGCCATGACGGTGGTCTGCTCCACAGTATTCAAGAGACACAAAGGAGGGAAGTTACATTAATATTTGAAATAATGAAGCCGTGTGGTCATTAGGCTGGTCTCCTGTGCTTCCATAGCAATACATTAAGCCAAGACAAGCGCCATGTATTTTACATGCTCCTGTCAAAGCTGAAGATGGATCCTGCGGCATAATGATGTCTCTTAGAAGGTAGTGTAGGTATGAGGAAAGAAGGACACAAAGAGAGGGTTAGGAGAGAAAGGCAGAGGTATAAAGAAGATGGTGTGTGTGTGTGTGTGTGTGTGTGTGTGTGTGTGTGTGTGTGTGTGTGTGTGTGTGTGTGTGTGTGTGTGTGTGTGTGTGTGTGTGTTTGTCAGACAACAGACGGCTCTCTGTCCCTTGGTCACACTGCTGACCCGATTTACTTCCTAAAGCCTCCAGTTTGTAGTTTAATGGAGCTTGTGTTGTCCTGGACTACACAAACACACAAACACACGCACACACTCGGGTTACCCTACATCACCTTTCACCTCAGTGGAGATTTTGGCCCAAATCCTCCAAGGGGCATCGTCTGAGCCAATGATGTCCTCAGATACTTGACCATGTCGACTGTGCTCTGTACCACTTAACTCCAAGGTTCAAGTGAGTGTGTGTGTGTGAGAGAGAGTTTGTGTGCATGCAAGATAAAGCTGGATGAGGTGGCACAGTGACGTCCAGGAGGTAATCGGTATTTACACCTCAGAGTTCAGAGCTGATGAACTCTTTTAACTGATCAGGTCACAGAACATCCGTAGTTTTTAACTCTTGACTTTATTCACATCTTGAAAGTGTCAGTGATCGATAGGCACAAAGACTTTTGGAATATTTCAGTGTACCTGATGAAACTATATCTAACATCTGTAA